ACTAGAAACACTCACGACTAGCCAGTGGTAGTGAAGGGAGTCTCTCACTAGAAACACTCACTACTAGCAAGTGGTAGTGAAGGGAGACTCTCACTAGAAACACTCACTACTAGCCAGTGATAGTGAAGGGAGTCTCTCACTAGAAACACTCACTACTAGCCAGTGAGAGTGAAGGGAGTCTCACTAGAAACACTCACTACTAGCCAGTGGTAGTGAAGGGAGTCTCTCACTAGAAACACTCACTACTAGCCAGTGATATTGAAGGGAGTCTCTCACTAGAAACACTCACTACTAGCCAGTGACAGTGAAGGGAGTCTCTCACTAGAAACACTCACTACTAGCCAGTGGTAGTGAAGGGAGTATCTCACTAGAAACACTATGAACCAGTGATATTGAAGGGAGTCTCTCACTATAAACACTCACTACTAGCCAGTGGTAGTGAAGGGAGTCTCTCACTAGAAACACTCACTACTAGCCAGTGACAGTGAAGGGAGTCTCTCACTAGAAACACTCACTACTAGCAAGTGGTAGTGAAGGGAGTCTCTCACTAGAAACACTCACTATGAACCAGTGATATTGAAGGGAGTCTCTCACTAGAAACTCTCACTACGAACCAGTGAGAGTGAAGGGAGTCTCTCACTAGAAACACTCACTAATAACAAGTGGTAGTGAACGGAGTCTCTCACTAGAAACACTCACTATGAACCAGTGATATTGAAGGGAGTCTTTCACTATAAACACTCACTACTAGCCAGTGGTAGTGAAGGGAGACTCTCACTATAAACACTCACTCCTAGCCAGTGATATTGAAGGGAGTCTCTCACTAGAAACACTCACTACTAGCCAGTGGTAGTGAAGGGAGTATCTCACTACAAACACTCACTACTAGCCAGTGATATTGAAGGGAGTCTCTCACTGGAAACACGACTAGCCAGTGGTAGTGAAGGGAGTCTCTCACTAGAAACACTCACTACTAGCAAGTGGTAGTGAAGGGAGTCTCTCACTAGAAACACTCACTATGAACCAGTGATATTGAAGGGAGTCTCACTAGAAACTCTCACTACGAACCAGTGAGAGTGAAGGGAGTCTCTCACTAGAAACACTCACTACTAGCAAGTGGTAGTGAAGGGAGTCTCTCACTAGAAACACTCACTATGAACCAGTGATATTGAAGGGAGTCTCTCACTATAAACACTCACTACTAGCCAGTGGTAGTGAAGGGAGACTCTCACTAAAAAACACTCACTCCTAGCCAGTAATATTGAAGGGAGTCTCTTACTAGAAACACTCACTACTAGCCAGTGACAGTGAAGGGAGCCTCTCACTAGAAACACTCACTACTAGCCAAGTGGTAGTGAAGGGAGTCTCTCACTAGAAACACTCACTATGAACCAGTGATATTGAAGGGAGTCTCTCACTATAAACACTCACTACTAACCAGTGGTAGTGAAGGGAGACTCTCACTAAAAAACACTCACTCCTAGCCAGTGATATTGAAGGGAGTCTCTCACTAGAAACACTCACTACTAGCCAGTGGTAGTGAAGGGAGTATCTCACTACAAACACTCACTACTAGCCAGTGGTAGTGAAGAGAGTCTCTCACTAGAAACACTCACTACTAGCCACTGATAGTGAACGGAGTCTCTCACTAGAAACACTCACTACTAGCCAGTCATAGTGAAGGGAGTCTCTCACTAGAAACACTCACTACTAGCCAGTGGTAGTGAAGGGAGACTCTCACTAAAAAACACTCACTCCTAGCCAGTGATATTGAAGGAAGTCTCTCACTAGAAACACTCACTACTAGCCAGTGGTAGTGAAGGGAGTATCTCACTACAAACACTCACTACTAGCCAGTGGTAGTGAAGAGAGTCTCTCACTAGAAACACTCATTACTAGCCAGTGGTAGTGAAGGGAGTCTCTCTCTAGAAACACACAATACTAGCCAGTGACAGTGAAGGTAGTCTCTCAATAGAAACACTCACTACTAGAAGATGATTGTGAAGGGAGACTCTCACTAGAAACATTCACTACTAGCCAGTGGTAGTGAAGGGAGTCTCTCACTAGAAACACTCACTACTAGCCAGTGACAGTGAAGGGAGCCTCTCACTAGAAACACTCACTACTAGCCAAGTGGTAGTGAAGGGAGTCTCTCACTAGAAACACTCACTATGAACCAGTGATAGTGAAGGGAGTCTCTCACTATGAAACACTCACTACTAACCAGTGGTAGTGAAGGGAGACTCTCACTAAAAACACTCACTACTAGCCAGTGATATTGAAGGGAGTCTCTCACTAGAAACACTCACTACTAGCCAGTGGTAGTGAAGGGAGTATCTCACTACAAACACTCACTACTAGCCAGTGGTAGTGAAGAGACTCTCACTAGAAACACTCACTACTAGCCACTGATAGTGAACGGAGTCTCTCACTAGAAACACTCACTACTAGCCAGTCATAGTGAAGGGAGTCTCTCACTAGAAACACTCACTACTAGCCAGTGGTAGTGAAGGGAGACTCTCACTAAAAAACACTCACTCCTAGCCAGTGATATTGAAGGGAGTCTCTCACTAGAAACACTCACTACTAGCCAGTGGTAGTGAAGGGAGTATCTCACTACAAACACTCACTACTAGCCAGTGGTAGTGAAGAGAGTCTCTCACTAGAAACACTCATTACTAGCCAGTGGTAGTGAAGGGAGTCTCTCTCTAGAAACACACAATACTAGCCAGTGACAGTGAAGGTAGTCTCTCAATAGAAACACTCACTACTAGAAGATGATTGTGAAGGGAGACTCTCACTAGAAACACTCACTACTAGCCAGTGGTAGTGAAGGAAGTCTCTCACTAGAAACACTCACTACTAGCCAGTGACAGTGAAGGGAGCCTCTCACTAGAAACACTCACTACTAGCCAAGTGGTAGTGAAGGGAGTCTCTCACTAGAAACACTCACTATGAACCAGTGATATTGAAGGGAGTCTCTCACTATAAACACTCACTACTAACCAGTGGTAGTGAAGGGAGACTCTCACTAAAAAACACTCACTCCTAGCCAGTGATATTGAAGGGAGTCTCTCACTAGAAACACTCACTACTAGCCAGTGGTAGTGAAGGGAGTATCTCACTACAAACACTCACTACTAGCCAGTGGTAGTGAAGAGAGTCTCTCACTAGAAACACTCACTACTAGCCACTGATAGTGAACGGAGTCTCTCACTAGAAACACTCACTACTAGCCAAGTGGTAGTGAAGGGAGTCTCTCACTAGAAACACTCACTATGAACCAGTGATATTGAAGGGAGTCTCTCACTATAAACACTCACTACTAACCAGTGGTAGTGAAGGGAGACTCTCACTAAAAAACACTCACTCCTAGCCAGTGATATTGAAGGGAGTCTCTCACTAGAAACACTCACTACTAGCCAGTGGTAGTGAAGGGAGTATCTCACTACAAACACTCACTACTAGCCAGTGGTAGTGAAGAGAGTCTCTCACTAGAAACACTCACTACTAGCCACTGATAGTGAACGGAGTCTCTCACTAGAAACACTCACTACTAGCCAGTCATAGTGAAGGGAGTCTCTCACTAGAAACACTCACTACTAGCCAGTGGTAGTGAAGGGAGACTCTCACTAAAAAACACTCACTCCTAGCCAGTGATATTGAAGGGAGTCTCTCACTAGAAACACTCACTACTAGCCAGTGGTAGTGAAGGGAGTATCTCACTACAAACACTCACTACTTGCCAGTGGTAGTGAAGAGAGTCTCTCACTAGAAACACTCATTACTAGCCAGTGGTAGTGAAGGGAGTCTCTCTCTAGAAACACACAATACTAGCCAGTGACAGTGAAGGTAGTCTCTCAATAGAAACACTCACTACTAGAAGATGATTGTGAAGGGAGACTCTCACTAGAAACACTCACTACTAGCCAGTGGTAGTGAAGGGAGTCTCTCACTAGAAACACTCACTACTAGCCAGTGACAGTGAAGGGAGTCTCACTAGAAACACTCACTACTAGCCAGTGGTAGTGAAGGGAGTCTCTCACTAGAAAACTCACTACTAGCCAGTGATATTGAAGGGAGTCTCTCACTAGAAACACTCACGACTAGCCAGTGGTAGTGAAGGGAGTCTCTCACTAGAAACACTCACTACTAGACAGTGGTAGTGAAGGGAGTCTCGCTAGAAACACTCACTACTAGCCAGTGGTAGTGAAGGGAGTCTCTCACTAGAAACACTCACTACTAGCCAATGAAACAGTGAAGGGAGTTTCTCACTAGAAACACTCACTACTAGCCAGTGGTAGTGAAGGGAGTCTCTCACTAGAAAACTCACTACTAGCCAGTGATATTGAAGGGAGTCTCTCACTAGAAACACTCACGACTAGCCAGCGGTAGTGAAGGGAGTCTCTCACTAGAAACACTCACTACTAGACAGTGGTAGTGAAGGGAGTCTCGCTAGAAACACTCACTACTAGCCAGTGGTAGTGAAGGGAGTCTCTCACTAGAAACACTCACTACTAGCCAGTGGTAGTGAAGGGCATCTCACTAGAAACACTCACTACTAGCCAGTGACAGTGAAGGGAGTCTCTCACTAGAAACACTCACTACTAGCCAGTGGTAGTGAAGGGAGTCTCTCACTAGAAACAATCACTACGAACCAGTGATATTGAAGGGAGTCTCTCACTAGAAACACTCATTACTAGCCAGTGATATTGAAGGGAGTCTCTCACTAGAAACACTACTAGTCAGTGGTAGTGAGGGAGTCTCGCTAGAAACACTCACTACTAGCCAGTGACAGTGAAGGGAGTCTCTCACTAGAAACACTCACTACTAGCCAATGAGACAGTGAAGGCAGTCTCTCAATAGAAACACTCACTACTAGCCAGAGGTAGTGAAGGGAGTCTCTCACTAGAAACACTCACTACTAGCCAGTGATAGTGAAGGGAGGCTCTCACTAGAAACACTCATTGCTAGCCAGTGATATTGAAGGGAGTCTCTCACTAGAAACACTCATTGCTAGCCAGTGATATTGAAGGGAGTCTCTCACTAGAAACACTCACTACGAACCAGTGATAGTGAAGGGAGTCTCTCACCACAGGAGCTTCCTTGCGCAGTACCCCCTCGCTCGACTGGACGACCGAGGCCAGCTGGGCGGACAGCTCCCAGGCCCCGTGGGCCTTCTGCAGGTCGACGAGCTCCAGGAAGGGCAGCTCAGTTGGAGCCTCTGGAGCAAAGTAATCGCATTCCATGGCTTCTTGTCTGTCTCCTGGGTCGTCCAGGTCAGCCAAGCTGTACGGCAAGTTCATCATCTTGGGCATCGACATCTTGCTATAGCCTGAACAGCATCGCACTGAGATGAAGCGGACAGGGGGAGACGCATTACCATCAGCAGCATGCACTTGGTCACGCATCGTTGTGTCTGTGCACGTCCTTGTCGTGTTGCATGTGCACATCTGTGCGTGTGTCAGTGTTATCTGAACCGGTCATGGGCCTCCCCTAGGTCGACTCTGCTTCAAATGAGTACTTGGTGCAATGTGTAAAACATCATTACTAGGGAGACAAAGGCGGCCGAGCGTAGTGCTGGCCACCGACCCCCTCGTGCAATGCCGTCCTTCATAGGTGCTCGCTAACAGCACTTGCCCCAACAATATGTTAAGGCTACACGGGGTAGCTTTGTATTTGTTTGTGTGTGTGTATCTGTGTGTGTGTCTGTGTATCAGTGTGTGTATCTGTGGGTAACGCTGTGGTCAGCAGTGCCATGGGGGGGAGGGACAATTTCGATTGGCCATTCCACCTCATGGCGTTTGTAGCCACCACAGCGGCCACAAGGGGCTCTGTATGGGTGCGAGGGGCTGGTAACCCCTCCAACTTCACTTAATTACCACTAAACCAAGAAGAAGAAAATATCAAGCTAAACATGTGCCGGAGGCCCCAGCGGTACAGGTGTCTATGACGTCTCCTGGCCAAACCCCATTTGGCGGAGCCAGCAGATTGAATCTTTACCCTCAGGGTTCCTCCAGAAACAACAAAAAGCCACTGCTGGTGGCCATGTGGAATGTTCAAATGCTCACTGCGGAGGAGAGGCTGTGACTCCTCTGTCGGTAGCTGGACCGGTACCGCCTGGACCTCTGCAGTATTCAGGAGGTGCCGTGGACCGGCTATGGCTCACAGGCTGCTGTGGCTCAAATATTGGAAGAAAGTCACCCCCTGTGAGTGGCTGGCTGAGGCGCTATCTAATGAGGAAGTACTGAAGGCGATCCAGAGTCTGAGACCAGGAAAAGCACCAGGCAGAGATGATCTCCCAAGCGAAATGCTGAGGGAGGGTGGCATTTGTGCACAGACTGCCCTACATGACATCATAATAACAGTATGAACCACTGGACGGGTTCTGTAGGATAGGAGGGATGCCCTGGTGATCTCTCTTTTTAAGAAAGGGGACCACACAGACGGAAACAACTACAAGGACATCTCACTCAGTGTGATGGGAAAGGTCCTGGCAAGTATTCAACATCGCCTTGCAAGGCACACTGAGCAAAAGCTTGCGGAGGCCCACTGTGGTTTCAGGAAAGGGCGGTCCTGCACAGATGCCATATTTTCTGTCTGTCTGCTACAGCAGAGGTGTAGGGAATTCCAAGAAGACCTACATCTCTGCTTTATTGACCTGTCTATGATATCATCAGTAGGCCTGGGCTTTGGGTTTATCGTCGTGCTTTCGGAGTCCCTGACTCTCTGCTCACAATCATTAACGACCTTCATGATGGTGAGCGGGCCCGGGTAAAGATACGTGGCCGGGAGTCGGAGCCATTCCCTTGGGGTGCGCGACAAGGATGTCCTCTGGCTCCCACATTGGGGCCTTACCATCAGCCCCACCAAAGCTAAGCACCTGCCTGGGTATTTTGTGCCACCAAATACTCCACCCGCTAAGCTCCCCATTGGTGATGGAGCAGTGGAGTTTCCAATACCTGGGCAGTGTGCTTATGACCAGCTCTGGTTTGACAGCAGATATCTCACTCCGAATCAGTCAGGCGGTATTATCTTTTCATCGGCTGCGCAATACTGTGTGGAAGCTACCTGGTCTGTCGTTCAGCACGAAGCTTCGGGTCTTCTCAGCCACAGTCATGCCCTCCCGTCTGTATGCTTCTGAAATGTGGACTCCTCGTATAGCAGATCTGCGCTGGTTAAAAACATTCAGGCTAGCATGGCTACAATTCATCTTGGGTTTAACCAGGCATGATTGTGTGAGGATATCACAAATTCTTGAAAGATCTTGACACATTCCCATCAGTGAGCTCCTCTGGCAGGCAAGGCTGCGTTGGCTGGGTCATGTAGTTCACATGCCCAGCCACCACATGCCCAAGCAGCTTCTGTTTGGTCACACAGAGGGGGTTAAACGGGCACGACATGGGCTGGAGAAGAGATGGACTGATGCGGTAATGGAGGATGTGGAGCTGAGTGGACTTGCTGACAACTGGTACCAGCGGTGTCAGGATCGGCCGCTATGGAGGAGGTTTGTGAAGGACGCAACTGGGTAATTGGAGGCAATCACCCTCCAGCCACAACGGAGGGCAGAGGAGCAAAGTTCATAACAATGAGTGGAATGCCGGGTGGCTAAAATACAGAAAGTTGGCACAGTAGGGGGTAAGCGAGTGCATCTACCAGTCATCGCAGTCAGCCAACCCATGGCACCTGGGTCTGTCCTGTGACCTCCTGTCAGTGGGCGTTCAACACTTCACATGGCCTAAAAAATCCACATAGCCTGGAACAAGCAACGTGGTGATGTCACTGCCACTTAGTGATTAATGTCGGATGTTGTGTGTATGTGTATGTGTCTGTGTGTATGTATGCCACTAAGAGGTGGGGCCTTACCATCAGCCCAACCAAAACTAAGCACCTGCCTGGGTATTTTGTACCATCGGACACTCCACCCCCACAACTCCCAATTGGTGATGGAGCAGTTGTGGAGAAAGTGGAGAGTTTCCCATACCTGGGCAGTGTGCTCATGACCAGCTCCAGTTTGGCAGCAGAGGTCTCACTCCGAATCAGTCGAGCAGCAAAATCTTTTCATCGGGTGCGTAACGCTGTGTGGAAGCTGCCTGGTCTGTCGCTCCGCACGAAGCTTGAGGTCTTCTCGGCCACGGTAATTCCCTCCCTTCTCTACGCTTGCGAAACGTGGACCCCCCTAATGGAACATCTTCGCCAGGTTAGAAACATTTAGGCTGGCCTGCCTACGATCCAACCTGGGTTTAACCAGGCTGAATTGTGTGAGCTCAAAAATTCTTGAAAGATCTGGACAAAATCTCATCAGTGAGCTCCTCCGGCAGGCAAGGCTGCATTGGGTGGGTCATGTAACCCGCATGCCCAGCCACCGAATGCCTAAACAGCTTTTGATCTGCCGGATCGAGGGGGCTAAATGGGTGCGGCATGGGCTAGAGAAGAGATGGAGTGATGTGGTAAAGGAGGACGTGGAGCTGAGTGGACTTGCCGATGACTGGTACAAGTGGTGCCAAGATCGGCCTCAGTGGAGGAGGTTCATGAAGGACGCTACTGGGCAGTTGGAGGCAGTCGCCCTTCAACAACAACAGAGGGCGGAGGAGCGACGCTCACAACAATGAGCGGAGCGCCGGGTGGCTAAAGCACAGCAAGTTGGCAAAGTAGGAGGCACAGGTGGTGCATCAGCCAGTCATCTCAGTCATCTCAGTCGACCCGTGGCACCTGGGTCTGCCCCATGACCTCCTCCCAGTGGGCGTTCGACACTTCACGTGGCCTCAAGGTGCACATAGCTTGGCACAAGTGTCATGGTGACGTCTCCGCCACTTAGTGGTGAATGGCGGTTGTTGTGCTGTATGCAGAAATCATCAATGGGTGCAACTGGGATGTAAAAAAAACCAACCTGTTTGCTGTGGAAGACACGATGCAATCATTCCGCCAAACATACTCCTCTTTGATCGCTGCTCTATGAAGATGTAAACAAACAACCCCCCAAAAATAATGTAAAAACACTCAAGCCAAATAAAACTCGTGACCCTGCCGATCTAGAGGGGACCCGGATGTCACGGTGGCTAAGAGAGATTATTAAATATCTTGTGCCTGTATGCAGGGAGGTCATGGGTAAGATCCCGACCCCAATGCCTGAAATTCTCGGGAGCTTGATTTGTCACTGAAATTATTAGGTGCTCGAAATTAGGCAATTTAATTCTCGGGATCTTGAATTTCGCCACTGACATTCTGAGGATCTTGAATTTAGCCACTGAAATTCTCAGGAACTTGAATTTAGCCACTGAAATTCCCAGGATCTTGAATTGAGCAACTGATATTCCAATGAACTTGAACTTAGCCACTGAAATTCTCATGATCTTTAATTTTGCCAATTAAATTCTCATGAACTTCAATTTATCCACTGAAATTGTCAGGAGCTTGAATTTAGTCATGGAAATTATCAGGATCTTCAATATTGCCACTGAAACTCAGGAACTTGAATATAGGCACGAAAATTATCATTAACTTTGATTCAGCCACTAAAATGCTCAGGTACTTGAATTTAGCCAATGACATTCTCAGAAACTTGAATTTAGCCACTGAAAATCTCAGGAGCTTGAATTTAGCCACTGAAAGTCTAATGAACTTGAATTTAGCCAGAAACAATGATGATGGACGCTTGTGTTGTGCCTGAAACATCGTGATTTAATTTATTTTATTTTATACCTACATGACTTACAGAAAAAAACAAAGAGTATGGATCCCTGCAGTCATGAAAACTTGAAATATAGATTGAATTTAGCCATAAAGTCTCTTGAACTTATATTTAGCCACTGAAACAGTCAGGAGCTTGAATTTAGCAACTGAAATTCCGAGGAACATGAATTTAGTCAATGCATTTCTAAGGAACTTGAATTTAGCCATTGACATTCTGAGGATCTTGAATTTAGCCACGGAAATTCTCAGGATCTTGAATTTTGGCACTGAAATTCTCAAGATTTAAAATTTAACCACTGAAATTCTCATGAATTTGAATTTAGCTACTGAATTTTGACACGGAAATTCTCAAAAACTTGAATTTAGCCGCTGAAATTCTCAGGAACTTGAATTGTGCCACTGAAATTCTCAGAAACATTAATTTAGCCACATAAATTCTCAAGAACATGACTTTAGCTACTGAAATTCCTAGGAACTTGAATTTAGCCACTGAAATTCCCAGGATCTTAAATTTAGCCACTGAAATTCTCAGGAATGGGAATTTAGCAACTGAAACTCTCAGGAACTTGCATTTAGCCACTGAAATTCTCAGGAACTTGAATTTAGCCACTGAAATTCTCAAGAAAATGAATTTAGCTACTGAAATTCCCAGGGACATGAATTTAGTCAATGAATACTCTTTGGTTCTATTGGGTAAAGTCACGTAGGTGAAAATAAAATAACCAAAAATCACGACGTTTCGGCCACAACACAAGCGGCCTTCATCAGGTGAAGGGACGAGACTGTCTGGAGAACAGCGCTGGAGTGAGAAAAGCCACACTTAGATCACGACCTTTAAGCTGTGTGAGAAGAAAACAAAACGCCTTGACAAAGGAATTAGCATATAATTTAGCATTGAAATGGCTCATTGAAATAGCTAAGTTAAAGTATACACATCCGCAGAGGCACCCCTTGACAAAGGAATTAGCATAGAATTTAGCATTGAAATAGCTGAGTGATTAGCTTGTAACTGGTCACAGAAATAGCTATGTTAAAGTCAGAGCATATACATTCACCGAGGCACCTAGTACAAATCAAACAGGAGAATTTAGCGAAACACAACCACGCTCAGACCGCGGACCTTTAAACTGTGTGCGAGCAAACAAGGTGTTCTGACAAAGAAATTAATATAAAAATTAGCATTTGATTGGCCGATTTTAGAAAAGAGGTGGTGTACGTGCCGGTGGACTTGCCGTTTGGCGCGGGGGGGGGGGGGGGGGGGGGGGGGGGGGGAGTTTACCTATTGATGGTGTGAAAAGGGACTTTATAAGAGCTGCGAAAGTTTGGGGTACCACTACTTGAAAAAATATACTGTACCATTGAAATTAGTGTAATGTTTAGTTCGATTTAGAACATCTTTCCAATGGTTGCTTAATTTGAAACCATCTTCTCGGTTGAAATTGTGTCTGTGTTTGTAGATCTGAATTGCTTCATGAACAAATCTCTGATAAAAACCCGTGGGTTTGCAAAGAACCTTGGTATCGGAGAAAATTATATCGTGATCCCCCACAGCGTTGTAACAGTGATCAGCCACGGCAGAAGAATGCATTTTGCCGTGTTTCAAATCTGATTTGTGCTCGCGAATTCGGTCAGAGACATGTCACTTTGTCTCCCCGATATAGCAATCAGCGCAGGTACAACTCAATTTGTAAACCCCGGGGTACTGTAAGTCAGGAATGACATCCTTCACGGATGGGATCAGATCACGAATTTTGTGTACTGTATTGAACCGGATCTGGATCTTGTGTTTGTTTAGAATTTTGGAAATCTTTTTAGTAACGCCTGCTATATATGGAAGTGTGATGGTTTTAACCCGAGTATCAAGTGGTTGTTTCTGTATGGAGGGAGAAACAGCTTGGCGGATGGTACGGTCAGAGTAACCATTCCTTTTGAGGGCCAGGTGTACATGTTTTAATTCACTGGTCAGGTGGTGTTGGTCCGAAATGCAATGAGCCCTATGGTATAAAGTTTTGATGAGAGAATTATTTTGGGCTGGGTGGTGGTGGGAATCAGGTTTCAAGTAGGAATCTGTGTGGGTGGGTTTCCTGTAGACAGAATGCCCCAATGAGCCATCAGGTCTCCTCTCAAACAGAACATCCAAGAATGGTAGCTTGCCATCTTTCTCCACTTCCATGGTGAATTTGATGGCGGGATGTCTGGAATTGATGTGGTGTAGGAAAAGGTTCAGAGCTGGGAGGCCATGTGGCCAAATGACTAAAGTGTCATCCACATATCTCTTCCACAGGGAAGGTCTGAGGGTGGAAGTCTGGATGGCGTCTGATTCAAATTTCTCCATGAAAATATTGGCTATCACTAGTGATAAGGGGGATCCCATGGGGGTATCCTCATTTTGTTTGTAGAAGGAGCCATTCCAAGTAAAGTAGGTATTGTTGAGGCAGTGCCTAACCAGTGCAGGTGTGTCGGGGTCTAGTCCATGTTGGACCAAATTTTCAATTATTTCAATGGTATCAGGTACTGGGACCTTGGTGAACAAAAAGACCACATCGAAGCTGACAAGTATATCGTCAGGGGACAGTACAACGTCTTTGACCATAGAGACCAATTGGGCTGAGTTAAGTACTGCTGAGGCGGTCTTGCCAGTGAAAGGCAGCAAGGTATCTGACAGAAAACGGGCTAGTCTATAGGTAGGGGAGTTGATCGTGGATACGATGGGTGGAAGTGGGGTGCTTTCTTTATGAATCTTGGGAAGACCATAGAATCTAGGGGGTCTTGCAGCAGAAGGTTTTAGGGAGGGACGTTTAGTTGGGTCGATTAAGGAGGTAGAACTTGTGATTATCTTGTTGGTTTTTATCGCTAGGCTATTAGTAGGGTCATTTTTTTATTTTTGAGTAACTTCCATCGTTGAGCAGATTCTGGATTTTGTTGTTGTATGAATCTTTATCCATAATAACAGTAGCGTTGCCTTTATCGGCTGAGAGGATGACTATATCACTTCTGTTTTTTTAAATTCGCGAGTTCAGAGCGTTCATTTTTGCTGATGTTACTAATGGGTTTCTTAGCATTCTTAAGAATAGTGGCTATTTCAACTCTCGCAACGTCTGCTTGGATGTGTCCTACGCCTTTGAGGGCTACATCGACCTGAGAGATGATATCATCTATTGGTATGTGTTTTGGGGTGACAGCAAAATTTAGTCCCCTAGCCAGTACTGTTTTCAGATTGTCCGAAATCGGGGTGCTACTCTGATTAATGACGATTTTGTTAACATCTAGTTTTGTTATATGTTGAACTGGGTTCTTCTTTGATAGGTGGTTGAATTTAGAAATCAGGTTAGCTTTACATTTGACTGACAGTGACTCAGCAGAAGAAGCAGTCATGTTGTCTACGTGATTCCAATCAAAAGGTGACATTTTTGTGTTAACATTAAATGAGCTTGTAGGAGAGTCCTGTATAAAGTATCGAGTTCAAATCGGAGTAGCCTTATCCTCTCTGAGATTAAAGATAGGCTGGCCTTAAGCAGAATCGGTTTAGAATTCGGAGAAGTTACAGTCAATGAAATTCTAAGGAACTTGCATTTAGCCACTGAAATGATCAGGATCTTGAATTTCACCACGAAATTCTCAGGTACTTGAATTTAGCCACTGAAATTCTCAGGTACTTGAATTTAGCCAATGAAATTCTCATGAACTTGAATTTAGCCACTGAAATTCTCAGGATCTTGCATTTAGCCACTGAAATTCTCATGAACTTGAATTTAGCCACTGAAATACTCAGGACATCGAATTTAGCCACCGAAATTCTCAGGATCTTGAATTTAGTCGCTGAAAATCTCAAGAACTTGAATTTAGCCACTGAAATTCTCACGAATTTGAAGTTAGCCACTGAAATTCTCAGGATCTTGAATTGTGCCAATTAAATTCTCAAGAACTTGAATTTAGCCACTGAAATACACAGTATATTGAATTTTGGCACTGAAATTCTCAGTAACTTGCATATAGCCATTGGAATTCTCAAGAACTTTAATTTAGCCACTGAAATTCTGAGGAACTTGAATTTAGCCACTGAAATTCCCAGGATCTTGATTTAGCCACTAAAATTCACAGGATCTTGATTTAGCCACTAAAATTCTCAGAAACTTGAATATAGTCAATTAAATTCGAAAACACATGAATTTAGCCATATCAATTCTCAAGAACAAGAATTTAGCTACTGAAATTCCCAGGAACATGAATTTAGCCAAAGAAATTCTAAGGAACTTGAATATAGCCACTGAAAATATCAGGATCTTGAATTTCACCATTGAAATTCTCAGGTACTTGAATTTAGCCACTGAAATTCCCAGGAACATGAATTTAGCCAAATAAATTCTCAGGTACTTGAATATAGCCACTGAAATTCTCAGGTACATGAAGTTAGCCATTTAAATTCCCAGGAACTTGAATTTAGCCGCTGAAATTCTCAGGATCTTGAATTGTGTCACTGAAATTCTCAGGTGCTTGAATTTAGCCACTGAAATTCTCATGAACTAGAATTTAGCCACTGAAATACTCAGGATATTGAATTTAGCCGCTGAAATTGTCATGAACTTGAATTTAGCCACTGAAATTCCCAGGAACTTCTTATTTAGCGACTAAAATTCTCAGGAACTTGAATTTAGCCACTGAAATTCTCAAGAAAATGTATTTAGCTACTGAAATTCCCAGGAACATGAATTTAGTCAATGGAATTCTAAGGAACTTGAATTTAGCCACTGAAATTCTCATGAACTTGAATTTAGCCACTGAAATACTCAGGATTTTGAATTTAGCCACCGAAATTCTCAGGATCTTGAATTTAGCCACTGAAATTCTCATGAACTTGAATTTAGCCACTGAAATTTTCAAGGACTTGAATTTAGCCACTGAAATACTCAGGATTTTGAATTTAGCCACCGAAATTCTCAGGATCTTGAATTTAGCCACTGAAATTCTCATGAACTTGAATTTAGCCACTGACATTTTCAAGAACTTGAATTTAGTCACTGAAATTCTCAGGATCTTGAATTGTGCCAATTAAATTCTCAGGAACTTGAATTTAGCCACTGAAATTCTGAGGAACTTCAATTTAGCCACTAAAATTCACAGGATCTTGATTTAGCCACTAAAATTCTCAAGAACTTGAATTTAAATTTTGATTTAAAGCTTTCGTGACTGCAGTAATTCATATTCTTAGTTGTTTCGGTAAAGTCACGTTGAAGAGAAACAACAAAATAACAAAATATATATAAAACAATAAAAAATTCTCACGACGTTTCGACCATAACTCAAACGGTCATCATCAGGTGTGTCGGTTTGCATAAATTTATTTTGAAAACGGCATATTTATTTATTTATATACATAAAAATAACGTTTGCGTCACGCGCAACGATTGGCTGTTTGCCAGTTTTGATGTAGTTTCCTTATTCACCAAGGTTCCTGTACCTGACACCATTGCAATCATTGAAGACTTGGTTCATCAAGGACTAAACACTGAGGTACCCCCCCTGGTGAGACACTGTTTAACCAATACATACTTCACTTGGAATGGAACTTTCTACAAACAAACTGAGGGCACCCCAATGGGCTCCCCCCTTTCTCCAGTTATAGCTAACATTTTCATGGAGAAATTTGAGACTGACGCCATCCAGACTGCCACTCTGCGCCCAACCTTATGGAAGAGGTACGTGGATGACACTTTTGTCATCTGGCCACATGGCCGGCCTGCTCTAGACCAATTCTTTGACCACATCAATTCCATACACCCAGCCATCAGATTTACCATGGAAGTCGAAATAGATGGCAAGATACCTTTTTTGGATGTCCTAATTAAAAAGAGACCTGATGGTTCAATGAGCCACTCTGTCTACAGGAAAGCTACCCATACGGATGCTTATCTGAAACCGGATTCCCACCACCATCCATCACAGAAGAATTCTCTCATCAAGACTCTGTATCATAGAGCCCAATGCATATCTGACCAGGAACACATAAGCAGTGAACTCAAGCACGTACACCAAGCTCTTAGGGCTAATGGTTACTCCGACTATACAATCCGCAAAGCTATCACTCAAACCATGAAGAAGAACCCTCTTGAGGAGCCTTTCAAAACCATCACTTTACCCTACATTGCTGGGATCACAAAAAAGATCTCCAAAATCTTGAATAAACACAAGATCCAGGTCCGTTTCAACACATTACATAAAATCCGTGATCTGGTTCCGTCTGTAAAAGATGTGATTCCGGACATACAATACCCTGGTGTCTACAAACTAAGTTGCCTCTGTGGTAGTAGTTACATTGGAGAAACCAAACGCCATATCTCGGACCGCATTCGTGAACATAAAGCAGACCTTAAACACGGTAGGACCAACACCTCGGCCGTAGCAGATCATTGTTCTAATTCAGTAGGCTCACATGCCATTGACTTTTCCAAGACGGAGGTTCTTTGTAAGCCATCTGGCTTCCATGAGAGATTCGTTCATGAGGCTATCCACATATACAAACACAGAGACAATTTCAACCGAGAAGATGGATTCTATCTTAGCAATCATTGGAAAGATTTGATAAATCATTTCAGTTCTTGATTGATTGTTCACGCTTACAGTGGCTTTCAGACAGCATACATAAAAACAAATTTCGTCTCCCCCCTCCTCTTTTAAAAAAAAAAATAGATGGACTAGTCCTGGCAAACAGCCAATCGTTGCGCGTGACGCAAACGTTATTTTTATATATATAAATAAATATGCCGTTTTCAAAATAAATTTATGCAAACCGACACACCTGATGATGACCGTTTGAGTTATGGTCGAAACGTCGTGAGAATTTTTTATTGTTTTATATATATTTTGTTATTTTGTTGTTTCTCTTCAACGTGACTTTACCGAAAAAACTAAGAACTTGAATTTAGTCAATTAAATTCGAAAAAACATGAATTTATCCACATCAATTCTCAAGAACAAGAATTTAGCTACTGAAATTCCCAGGAACATGAATTTATCCAATGAAATTCTAAGGAACTTGAATTTAGCCACTGAAATTATCAGGATCTTGAATTTCACCATTGAAATTCTCAGGTACTTGAATTTAGCCACTGAAATTCTCAGGTACATGAAGTTAGCCACTGAAATTCCCAGGAACTTGAATTGTGTCACTGAAATTCTCATGAACTTGAATTTAGCCATTGAAATACTTAGGATATTGAATTTAGCCGCTGAAATTCTCATGAACTTGAATTTAGCCACTGAAATTCCCAGGAACTTCGTATTTAGCGACTAAAATTCTCAGGAACTTGAATTTAGCCACTGAAATTCTCAAGAAAATGTATTTAGCTACTGAAATTCCCAGGAACATGAATTTAGTCAATGGAATTCTAAGGAACTTGAATTAAACCACTGAAATTCTCAGGTACTTGAATTTATCCACTGAAATTCTCATGAACTTGAATTTAGCCACTGAAATACTCAGTATCTTGAATTTAGCCACTGAAATTCTCATGAACTTGAATTTAGCCACTGAAATACTCAGGATCTTGAATTATGCCAATTAAATGATCAGGAACTTGAATTTAGCCACTGAAATTTTCAAGAACTTGCATTTAGCCACTGAAACTCTCAGGATCTTGAATATCGTCACTGAAATTATCAGTGCTTGAATACGTGCGATGATATGTTTGTAGCCATTGTGGGGAGTGGTGGGTTTACGCAGCGTGGCCTCTTCTTAGGTGTTGCTCACTAATAGCACATGCCCCAACAGTCTGGTGAAGCTATACTGGCGGCGATCCTTGTCTTTTTGTCCGTGTTAAAACTTTATTACTTGGGAGACAAAGGCAGCTGGATGTGGTGCTGGCCACCCACCCCCTGGCGTGCTGTGTCAGCCTTAATAGGTGCTAATCGCTAGCAGCATTTGCCCCAACATTCTGTTAAGACTATACAAGGGGGAGGGGCAAATTTGTCTTTGCGTATCTGTGTGTGTGTCTGCTTGTGCTGTAATGGAAATGTGCATTCAGTGGATCGGATTGTTGTACCCACTTGCAACAGGAGCAGACATCATTGGAGAAGCCAACAATCTCATGGACTGCATGGCACCATGGTTAGGAGCTGTAAACACACACAAAGATGGGGGACCGCTCATTCAACCTTCCTCCAGCCCAGCTCTTTCCACTGCACGAGTGATCCGTGCCAGTGCCGTGCCAGAGATGCTCGATGGACGACAATGCGACCTCACATAGTGCCTGGCTGTTGTCTGTCTCTGTGTCTGCCTATGTGTCTGTGTATGTGTGTCTGTGTATATCTGTGTGTCTGTGTGTGTGTGTCTGTCTTTGTAGCTGTCTGTGTGTGTGCATCTGTGTGTGTGTCTATGGGGAGCAGTAGTGTAATGGTTCGCGGACTGCGCTATGAACCCGTGACCGAGTTCGATTCCCGCTCATGACCAAGACCAGTGACGATTATCTAAACTGGTATTGGGTGTTCACTATGTCGACTTAGCCGTATCGGCCTTCATAGGCTCTCGCTAACAGCACTTGCCCCGACAGTCTGTTAAGGCTATACGGGGGATCGTTGGCTTTGTATTTGTGTGTGTATCTGTGTAGCTGTCTCTGTGTGTGTGTCTGTGTGTACTTGTCCGTTCGAACGCTCACTGCGGAGGAGAGGCTGCCACTCCTCTGTCGGGAGCTGGACCGGTACTGCCTGAATCTCTGTGGCATTCAGGAGGTCCGGTGGACCGGCTCTGGCTCCTGCCACCATGAGGGGTGGACAGTCCTCTACTCGGGGCAGGAGACCGCCAAACAACAGGGAGTGGCTCTTCTTCTGAACAAAAGAATGAAGGGGGCGTGGGAGCGTGGTGGTGATGTGTAGGAAGCTGTAAGGCCCAGGCTACTTTGGGCTCGCCTTCCAATCAACCAGAGGCGAGGAGTGGTGATCGTGGTTACTTATGCCCCCACCGAAGACGAACATCCGTGGAGGGATGCAGGCAAGGCCGATGAGTCAGATGCCTTCTATGACCTCCTGTCACAGGTGCTGGCTAAAGTGGCCCCTTGGGATAGAGTCATCTTGTAAGGTGCTTTAATGCCCGAGTTGGTCATGATGCTGGCACCTGGTCTGGAGTGATTGGAAGGCATGGGCCAGATCAGCTTAATAACAACGGTAGGAGGCTGCTAGATTTGTGTGCAGCCCATGGGCTTGTAATTACCAACATGCAGTTCCCCGGGTTGAAGCAAGAACATCTGCTGGACTATATAGTGACGGAACAACGGATGCGGGCCCATGCCCTTGACACTAGGACCTACTGTGGAGCTGATCTGCCCACTGACCATCGACTTGTCATCTGTAAGATGCGCTTGCCATTATTCCACTCCGGTGGTGGGTATACACCCAGGATCCCCCTTCAAACCCATATTGGCCTGGTCTCAGCTAGCTGATGAAAGTTGCAAGCGAGAATTTAATCATCGCTTGTGGCTGGGCTTAGCATCGTCCCCCACTCCTCCTGATGTCGAGGGGAAATGGATGAGGTTTAGGACTGGCTCATGCAGCTGCAATGGCTGCGTTGGGTACATGTGTAGTGATATCGTTGGATGTCACTGTGTCAAGCCAGCCTGGGAAAGGCACAGCGCGCGATGTATGGACATCGCTGACACCACTTGAATATGGATGCAGTACGGGCGCGAGCGGGGCTCGGTGAGCACTGACTGACAGTGAGAGATGGCACCACGCTCTGCGTGCAGTGTCAGCCCCTACAGGATAGAGGGCGAGAGTGCCGGGCATGGTACAGGGTTATAAGGGGGCCATGGCACTTTGGTTGAACCCGGAGGACACGTGACCAGAGGTATCTACCCGGTGACCCCCAAAGGGGGCCTGGAGTGATCACGTGTCCAGGTGAAGATCCTTCTCGAGGTTTGGAGAAGGTAGGCGTGGCTAGGGGTGGAGCGAGCCATGCCACACAGGTTATAAGCCGTAGCCCTGAGCGGCACCGGCTGCTGTTGTCATCCTGAAGAATCGATGTTCCACATCTGTGGAACGTCATCAACACGTGGACCTGAACCCAAGCTGGGGTCCTGTCCATTCATAGCTACTCCGAGAGTAATTAGTGTAGTTTGCCTGGTGGACCACCCCATAGGATATTATCTGGTGAAGGGGCAGTTACTCGTTCGTGTTAGTATGTTAGTATTAATAAATGTGTTGCCTCCAAGAGTACGTCCAAGTCTCAGTTTGAACCCACTACACATGGTCCAGACCTCTCCAGAAACCCTGGCTGACAGAGGAGGTGTTCAGGCTGGCTAAGAAAAAGCAACAGGCCTACTCTCATCGTCAACAGCATCCCACATCAGAGAATGAGGAGGCTTACCGCAGCCTTCGCTCGGAGGTTCGGAGAGCCGTGAAGCACTGCAAGGATGGGTGGTGGTCACGGGTTGCTGAGGAGATGGCATCTGCCTCAGTGGCCCGCGATCACAAATTCCATAAAAAAGTAACTTGCAGCGCCACACCTATTGCCATCATTAGAGGTCCTGGGGGAGGGGAAATCCCTCAGACAGGAAAACATCGTGGGACAAAGTGGGGATGACCCTACTAAGGCTGCGGTGCCTCAAATATTGGAAGAAGTCATCCCCTGTGACCAGGAAAGTCACGGGGCAGAGATGATCTGCCAAGTGAAATGCTGGGAAAGGGTGGCATTTGTGCGCACACTGCCATACATTACATCATAATAACAGTCTGCACCACTAGACAGGTTCCGCAAGATTGGAAGGATGCCCTGGTGGTCCCCCTCTTTAAGCAGGGGGGACCACACACACTGTAACAACTACAGGGGAATCTCACTTCTCAGTGTGCCGGGAAAGGTCATGGCAAGGATTATTCAACATCGTCTTGCCATGCTCCCTGAGGAGAGGCTTGCAGAGCCCCAATGTCGTTTCAGGAAAGGGCAGTCCTGTAAAGATGCCATATTTTCTGTCCATCTGCAACAGCAGAGGTGTAGGGAATTCCAACAAGACGTAAATCTCTGCTTTATTGACCTGGTCAAGGCCAATGATACCATCAGTAGGCCTGGGGGGCTCTGGGTTGTTCTTCATGCTTTCGGAGTCCCTGACTCTTTGCTCATAATCATTAAAGACCTTCATGATGGTGAGCGGGACCGGATAAAACTACGTGGCCGGGAGTCGGAGCCATTCCCTGTTCACCTTGGGGTGCGACAGGGATGTCCTCTGCCTCCCACATTATTTAACATCTACTTCGACCACGTGAAGCCTCTGATAGCTGCACCGTAGGAATTTCCATCTGGTACAGATACAATGGGAGGGCGATCGACGCCCAGGTGTGGTCGAGGGATGGCTCCCTATTGGTCAACCATGTTTTGTATGCCAATGATCTGATAATTGCTGCTCTCTCAGAGGAGGAGTTGGAGGCGCTGCTGCTAAACCTGGAGCTTGCCACTAAGAGGTGGGGCCTTAACATCAGCCCCACCAAAACTAAGCACCTGCCTGGGTATTTTATACCATCAGACACTCCGCCCCTACAACTCCAAATTGGTGATGGGGCAGTTCTGGAGAGTGGAGAGTTTACCATACCTGGGCAGTGTGCACATGACCAGAGGTCTCACTTCGAATCAGTCGAGCGGCATTATCTTTCATTCGGTTGCATAACGCTGTGTGGAAGCTACCTGGTGTGTCGCTCCACACGAATATTCAGGTCTTCTCGGCTACAGTCATGCCCTCCATTCTCTACGCTTGTAAAACGTGGACCCCCCTAATGGAACATCATCGCGGGTTAGAAACATTTAGGCTGGCTTGCCTACGATCCATCCTGGGTTTAACCAGGTTGGATTGTGCGAGGAGCTCAAAAATCCTTGTAAGATCTGGACAAAATCCCATCGATGAGCTCCTTCGGCAGGCAAGGCTGCGTTGGCTAGGTCATGTAGCCCGCATGACCCAGCCAACGGAGGATGTGGAGCTGAGTGGACTTGCCAATGACTGGTACCAGCGGTGTAAAGATCGGCCTCTGTGGAGGAGGCTCATGAAGGGTGCTACTGGGCAGTTTTAGGTAGTCACCCTCCAACAACAACGGAGGGCGGAGGAGTGATGCTCACAACAAGGAGCGGAGGGCAGGGCGGCTAAAACATAGCAAGTTGGCACAGTAGGGGGCACAGGTGGTGCATCAGCCAGTCTGTCGACACGTGGCACCTGGGTCTGCCCGATGACCTCCTGCCGGCGGGCATTCGACACTTCTCGTGGCCTCAACGTGCACATAGCCTGGCACAAGCGCCATGGTGATGTCACTGCCACTTAGTAGCGAATACCGGATGTTGTTTTGTCTGTGTGTGTGTCTATCTGTGTGCATGTCTGCGTGTGTATCTGTGTGTGTCTGCATCTATTTTGCCGTTGCTGAAACGTGGATTCAGGGTGGCATCAGAGCCGTGTACGCACTCGTGGCAGCAGACACTGGATGATCCAGCAAACACATCTACTCCCCGCCATGCATGGGTGCTGCGAAACGCACACCGAGAACACCAGGGGGGTACCGGGGGACCTTTTCTCGCTCAACCTCCCTCTTACACCTCTGACGTTTGTCGACTACCGGCAAGCGATCATCCCGTGCCAGCGAGCGCCACGCCGGTGACGTCATCGTCCTCACCGTATCATCGTCGTCCTCACCGCGTCGCCGTTACCGCATTGTTGTCATCCTAACCGCGTCGTCGTCACCGCATCGTAGTAGGCGTCGTCGTCGTCCTCACCGCATAGTCGTCGTCCTCACCGAATCGTCATCGTCCTTACTGAATCGTCGTCGTCATCACCAAATCATCGTCGTCACCATCATCATCGTCCTCACTGCGTCGTCCTCATCCTCACCACGTCGTCGTTGTCCTCACCGCTCTGGGCCAAAGCGTGTGCACACTGTGCATGTGTGGCTCCGTGAGCGGTTTTCATTTTTTATTTGTTCCGTGCCCATCACCACCGCCGCCACCACCGCCACCACCATCAAATCCGCAACTGCACAGCTGCACCCACCTGCGTCCACTACGTCCATACTATACGACGACGAGTCACACACCACGCCGAAACCTGAAACGGCAACCACGGCGCCGCTTAGCGTCCCCACGTCACCCCCCACGCCACCCCCCATGCAGTGCCCACGCCGCCCGCTACCGTCGCCCCCCCCCCCCCCCAACTGTGCCGTCAACCGTAGAGGAGGGGGTCGTTGCCATTGTCGTTCGCGATTTTCGATGGAAACACCGACCGACTGTCACACCGACTGGCTAACGCACCAACTAAAACACCGAATGACTAAAGCACCGACCGACTAGAACACTGACTGGCTAACGCACCGACTAGAACACCGACCGACTGACACACCGACTGACTATTAGACTGACTGACTGACAGACCGTCCGACCAATACTGATTAACAGACCGACCGACTAGCTATCAAACCGACTAGGCAGACCGACAGACACAGCAATTCAGTAAATGACAAAAATCAAGTCAGGCTGAGAGACAAAAACACCAACTGACTGACATGCCTACAGACAGACACACCAACTGACTTAGCCATAGACAGACAAACCGAATAGCTGACCCACAGACAGATACACCGAATGACTGACGGACATAACCACAGACTGACTGACCCACACGCTGACAGACCCTACCACAGACCCACAGACAGACCGATTGACATATCCACAAACAGACAAACCGACCGACTGACATATCCACGGAGAGACATACAACACACCGATTAACTGACATACCATCAGACACACTGACCGACTGACATACCAACAGACACACCGACCGACTGACATGCCCACAGACAGACACACCGAAACCCTGACATACCCACAGACAGACACACCGAATGACTGACAGGCATAACCACAGACTGACTGACCCACACACTGACCGACCGTACCACAGACCCACAGACAGACCAACTGAAATATCCACAGACACACCGAATGACTGACACACACACACACACACCGACCGACCGACTGACTGACTGACCCACATGCTGACCGACTATACCATCGACCCACAGACCGACCACATAAAGCCTCCCAACCCCCCTCCCCCGCCCCCCCGCTTCTAACCTGAACCACCGAAGAAGTGATGGCGTGGGGTGGGGCGCTCCTGCATGGCGGCCCCTAGTGGCTGGCGGGAGTCTGTGTCCACTCCGACAAAGGCTGTGTAGGGGGACACGACGCCCGACTCCACGCTCAGCGCCAGCACTCGCTCCCGGCGAGACTTGGCCTCCGCCTCCTCCTTCTTCTGCTGCTCCGCGTCGCCCGGCGCCGGCGTAGAGTCGGGGGCATTGGGACCCGACACGAGGTGGCGGATCATCGCCTTGGCTGCGAGCCAGTGCAGGGTGGCGCTGGGAGAGGTTACGGTGGAGGGGTTGCAGAGGCTCACTCACTCTGAGCCTGAGAACTGCTCCCTGAGTCTCACTCCCTGGTTCTGCCTGAGCTGCTGTTTCTGGGTTTGCCAGATATGGACAGCTGCCTCCACCCCGACTCCACGTGATCAGCGGTCTCATGGCCGTGCACCGTGGTATGTGGGCCAGCACGCTCAATTTCCATCAGCAGCCTTCACGTGGCTCCCTGGGTGACCGTGAGGCCTACACCCGGGCCGGAGCCTGCGCGGGCCGCTTGGCGAGCCGTGCTGTGGCCAGTGGGGTGCTTGGAAAGCCTCGTCGGGGCCATATTCAAGGCTTTTCTGACCAATATCATCCATACAAGAGGTTTTTGGGTAAGGTCGCATAAATGTGTTGTTAAACCCGCCACCACATGACACAGCCAATTAGTAATGTTATCCATTGTAATGGATATCCATTGCAATTTATATGACAACATTAATCCCCCGACCGATGGCCTCCACACCTGACTGGCTCACAAGTGACGACATCACATTTATTCCAGGACATCTATTTACGAAGGAAACAGGAGAAGGATTTATCCACAACTCTGAGGCTGTCTGCCTGATGATGCCGCTTGTTGTAATTACCGGCGAAACATCACACAGGTACTCCAATTGTAAACGCTGTTGTGGGTTTACTCTCTAACCCACAATCGGTGTAGTGCTGTACTAGTAATGAATTGGCACGTTTTGTTTACATCACTAACCTCACTGATTGGCTGTCGGGTGGTGGTGGGTTTAAGCATGCATTTATACCTCTTATTATGGACTATAAAATGCTGCTGGCTCGTTTGTTGCTGCTCTGGCAGCTACCTGTTTTGAACATCTTTATCGGTGGGTCGGTGGGTGAATGAGTGAGTGAACGAGCGGGTGGGTGAATGAGTGGGTGGGTGGGTGAATGAGCGAGTGAATGAGTGATTGAGTGAACGAGCGGGTGGGTGAATGCCCGGGTGGGTGAACGAGGGGGGCTACGTACCGGGACTCGCCAGGGTTGGCAGTCTGGCTGGTGACGGGAACCCGGTTCTCCACGGACTCCCCATGCAGGCAGTACTTGAGCACTGCCTCGCCCTGCCATGGGGCAGCTGGAGCCTGCAGAGACGAGAGGCTCAGTCTGGGAGCCTGACCCCAAGACCCGGTGCCCGACCCTGAGTCTCAATCTGACCCTGAGTCTCAATCTGGTCACCCCGAGTCTCACTTCAGACTCTGACCCTGAGACCTGGTCACCCCGAGTCTCACTCCAGACTCTGATCCAGAGACCCGGTCACCCCAAGTCTCACTTTAGACTCTGACCCTGAGACCCGGTCACCCCAAGTCTCACTCCAGACTCTGACCCTGAGACCCGGTCACCCCAAGTCTCACTCCAGACTCTGACCCAGAGACCCGGTCACCCCAAGTCTCACTCCAGACTCTGACCCAGAGACCCGGTCTTCCTGACGCTCAATTAAACTTGTCCCCATGTCTCGCCATGTCTAACCAGGTCCCTGTGTCCCCGCGTGTTGCGTGTGGTCTCACGGTGCCAGCGAGCTGTGCATAGAGGATGGTTCGCTGGCCGAGGAAGATGCTGCGTGGCACCTCGGGCACCACTATGGCCGACAGGCCCGGTGGGAGGCTCCAGGAGAGCGACACGGAGGTCAGCGTGGGCTGGAGAGCGCACTTCAGGGCCTTCAGCACCTGGGGTGGTGGGTACAGAGACGGAGGGAGGGAGGGAGGGAGGGAGGGAGGGAGGGAGGGAGGGAGGGAGGGAGGGAGGGAGGGAGGGAGGGAGGGAGGGAGGGAGGGAGGGAGGGAGGGAGGGAGGGAGGGAGGGAGGGAGGGAGAGGGAGGGAGGAAGGTACCGATAATCGTCACTGGTGTTCGCCGTGAGCGGGAAATGAACCGAACCGGTCCTGGGCCTCCCACGAGGTCCAAACAGAGAGAGATAGAGACACAGAGAGACAGAAAGAGACAGAGACACAGAGAGACACAGAGAGACGCAGAGAGACACAGAGAGATAGAGAGATAGAGAGACAGAGTGACAGAGACACAGACAGAGAGATACCAAGACAGAGACACAAGAGACAGACAGCCCTCTGGATGTCTGTTACAAAGACAGATACAGAGAGAGACGCCCAGAACCCGAGAGTCCCGAGTGGCACTGTCTCAGGTGCAGGGTCTCCGTGTTGGCGGTTTTCAGTCTGAGCAGACCTACGGACGCACGGCATTCACCTTGCCCTGCAGGCGCTCCTTGCCGGTGATGAACTCAGCCGTCCCTCCTCCGCTGGCGGCGATCCCCTTGATCAGCTCCGTGGAGGCACCGTCACCGATTCCAAAGGAGAAGCAGCTACAGACACAAAGTCACACAGACACACACAGACACACCCAGACACACATACACAGACACACATAGAGACAGCACATAGAGACAGCACATAGAGACACACACAGATACACACACAAACACACACACAGAGACACATAGGAGACACACACGCATAGACACACCCAGACATACATACACAGACACACAACAACAACCGCCATTCACCACTAAGTGGCGGTGACATCACCACGACGCTTGTGCCAGGCCACGTGCACCTTGAGGCCACGTGAAGTGTCGAACGCCCGCGGGCAGGAGGTCACGGGGCAGACCCAGGTGCCACGGGTCGACTGACTGAGATGACTGGCTGGTGCACCACTTGTGCCCCCTACTGTGCCAACCTGCTGTGCTTTAGCCACCCGGCGCTCCGCTCATTGTTGAGAGCGTCGCTCCTCCACCCTCCGTTGTTGTTGGAGGGCGACTGCCTCCAACTTCCCAATAGAGTCCTTCACGAGCCTCCTCCACAGAGGCCGATTTTGACACCGCTGGTACCAGTCATCGGAAAGTCCATTCAGCTCCACGTCCTCCTGTACCACATCACTCCACCTCTTCTCTAGCCCGTGCCGCGCCCGTTTAGCCCCCTCGATCCGGCCGAACAAAAGCTGTTCCGGCATGCGGTGGCTGGGCATGCGGGCTACATGACCCAGCCAACGCAGCCTTGCCTGCCGGAGGAGCTCACCGATGGGACCTTGCCCAGATCTTTCAAGAATTTGTGAGTTCCTTACACAATCCAGCCTGGTTAAACCCAGGATGGATCGTAGGCAGGCTAGCCTAAATGTTTCTAACCGGCGAAGATGTTCCATTAGGGGGGTCCACGTTTCGCAAGCATAGAGAAGAGAGGGAATGACCGTGGCTGAGAAGACCTGAAGCTTAGTGCGGAGCGACAGACCAGGTAGCTTCCACACAGCGTTACGCAACCGATGAAAACATTGCCGCTCGACTGATTTGGAGTGAGACCTCTGCTGTTAAACTGGAGCCGGTCATAAGCACACTGCCCAGGTATGGCAAATTCTCCACTCTCTCCACAACTGCCCCATCACCGATTGGGAGCTGTGGGGGTGGAGTGTCCGATGGTACAAAATACCCAGGCAGGTGCTTAGTTTTGGTGCGGCTGATGGTAAGGCCCCATCTCTGAGTAGCACGCTCCAGTGTCAGCAGCAGCGTCTCCAACTACTCCTCTGAATGAGCAGCTATTACCAAATCATCGGCATACATAACGTGGTTGAGCAATATGGAGCCATCCCTTGACCGCACCCAGGCATCGATCACCCTCCCATTATATCTGTATCATATGGAGATTCCCCCGGTACAGCTAATGAAGGCTTCACGAACTTCGTGGTCAAAATAGATGTTAAATAATGTGGGAGCCCGAGGACATCCCTGTCGCACCCCAAGGTGTACAGGGAATGGCTCTGATTCCCGGCCACGTAGTTTTACCCGGGCCCGCTCACCATCATGAAGGTCCTTAATGATCATGAGCAGAGGGTCAGGGACTCCAAAAGCATGAAGAACATCCCTGAGCCCAGGCCTACTGATGGTATCATAGGCCTTGACCAGGTCAATAAAGCAGAGATGTAGGTCTTGTTGGAATTCCCTACACCTCTGCTGTAGCAGACGGATATAAAATATGGCATCTGTGCAGGACCGCCCTTTCCTGAAACCGCATTGGGGCTCTGCAAGCCTCTCCTCAGAGTGCCTGGCAATGCGATGTTGAATAATCCTTGCCAGGACCTTTCCTGGAACACTGAGGAGTGAGATGCCCCTGTAGTTGTTACAGTCTGTGCGGTCCCCCTTCTTAAAGAGGGGGACCACCAGGGCATCCTTCCAATCCTGCGGAACCCCATCCAGCGGTCCAGATTGTTGTTATGATGTCATATAGGGCAGTCTGTGCACAAACGCCACCCTCCCTCAGCATTTCGCTTGGGAGGTCGTCTCTACCCGGTGCCTTTCCTGGTCTCAGACTCCGGATCGCCTTCAGTACTTCCTCAACGGATGGCACCTCAGCCAGCCACTCACAGGGGGTGACTTCTTACAATATTTGAGGCACCGCAGCCTCAGCAGGGTCATCCCCACTTTGTGCCATGATGTTTTCCTGGCTGAGGGATTTGCCCTTCCCCAGGACCTCACAAAAATGCTCAGCAAATCTGCAAACCTGTTCCTGGGGGTCGGAGACTGGATCACCGTTTTTCCCCTAATGATGGTAATAGGTGTGGCGCTGCAGGTTACTTTTTTGATGGAGTTAAATAGAGATTTGTGATCACGGGCCACTGAAGCAGACTCCATCTCCTCAGCAACCCGCGACCACCACCCATCCTTGCAGCACCTCACGGCTCTCCGAACCTCCGAGCGAAGGCTGCGGTAAGCCTCCTCATTCTCTGACGTGGGATTCTGTAGCCGATGACAGTGGGCCTGTCGCTTTTTCTCAACCATCCTGAACACCTCCTCTGTCAGCCAGGGTCTCTGGGGAGGTCTGGACCGCATACCCAAAGCAGCCATTGCAGCTGCATAAGTCACAGTCCTAAACCTTGCCCATTTACCCTCAACATCAGGAGGAGTGGGGGACGATGCCAACCCCAGCCGCAAGCTGGGGTTGGCATCGATGATGAAATTCTCGTTTGGAACTTTCATCAGATAACTGAGACCAGGCCACTTTAGGTTGGAATGGGGTCCTGGGTGTACACCCACCACCGGAGTGGAAGAACGGCAGGCGCATCTTACAGATGACTAGTCGATGGTCAGAGGGCAGATCAGCTCCACGGTAGGTCCTGGTGTCAAGGACATGGGCTCGCATCCGCTGGTCCGTCACTATGTAGTCCAGCAGATGTTCTTGCTTGGACCCGGCATGCATCCATGATGTTGTGTGGATGCGCCGATGCCGGAACAGCGTGTTGGTAATTACAGGCCCATGGGCTGCACAAAAATCTAGCAGCCTCCTACCGTTGTTATTGATCTGATCTGGCCCATGCCCTCCAATCACTTCAGACCAGGCTCCAGCATCATGACCAACTCGGGCATTGAAGTCACCCAACAAGATGACTCTATCCCGAGGGGCCACTTTAGCCAGCACCTGAGACAGGAGGTCATAGAAGGCATCTGACTCATCGGCTTTGCCTGCATCCCTCCACGGATGTTCGTCCTCGGTGGGGGCATAAGTAACCATGACCACCACTCCTTGCCTCCGGTTGATGGGAAGGCGAGCCCAAAGTAGCCTGGGGCTTACAGCTTCCCACACCTCACCGCCACGCTCCCACACCCCCTTCATTATATTGTCCAAAACAAGAGCCACACCCTGTTGTTTGGCAGTCTGCTGCCCCGAGTAGAGGGCTGTCCACCCCTCATGGTGTCAATAGCCAGAACCGGTCCACCGGACCTCCTGAATGCCACAGAGATCCAGACAGTACCGGTCCAGCTCCCGACAGAGGAGTGGCAGCCTCTCCTCCGCAGTGAGTGTTCAAACATTCCACGTGGCCATCCGTAGTGGCTTTTCATTGTTTCTGGAGGAGCCCAGAGGGTAGAGATTCAATCTCCTGGCTCCGCCAATTGGGGTTTGGCCAGGAGACGTCATAGACGCCTGTCCCCCTGGGGCCTCCGGCACAAGCTTATTAGTTAAATTTTGTATTCGTAGTTTAGTGGTAATTAATTGAAGGTGGAGGGGTTACCAGCCCCTCGCACCCGTCCAGAGCCCCCGTATAGCCACTGTGGTGGACAGAGACGCCATAAAGGGAGGAGCCAATCGGAATTGGACCTCCCCCCACAGTACTGCCCACGACAGAGTTGCCCGTCCGGCACCGCGAGGAGGTAGGGGTTGTTTTGCCGGACACACACACACATAGAGACACACATAGAGACACACACAGATACACACACAGACACACACACAGAAACACATAGGAGACACACACACACAGACACACACTGACACACATACACAGACACACACACACATAGAGACACACATAGAGACACACATAGAGACACACACAGACACACACACAGAAACACATAGGAGACACAGAGACACACACCGACACACACACAGACAAAGATAAAGATCCCCCATATAGCCTTAACAGACTGTAGGGGCAAGTGCTGTTAGCGAGCACCTATGAAGGCCGGAACGGTACACGAGGGGGTGGGTGGCCAGCACCACGCCCGACCGCCTTTGTCTCCCTAGTGGCAATGTTTACAAACCGCACCAGGTACTCAGTTGAGGCTGAGTCGACCTAGGGGAGGCCCGGGACCGGTTCAGATAATCATCACTGGTGTTGGCTTTGAGCGGGACTCGAACCCGGGTCGCCAGGTTCATAACGCAGCCCGCTAACCGCTACACTATCGCTCCCCACCGACACACACACAGACGCGCACATACAGACACACACACAGAGACACACACTAACAGACACACACCGACACAGACACACCCCGACACAGACACGCAGACACACACACAGACACGCAGACACGCACATACAGACACACAGAGATGCACACACAGAATGAAGAACTAAGTCCGGGCCTAGTATAGTCACTGTGTCTTAAATAAAGAGGCTCCACGTATCCAGTTGTCCGAGTCATTACACTACTACACACTACACTACTACACACTACCCTACTACACACTACATGCTACACCACACCCTACACTACACTACTACAAGCTACACTACTACACACTACACTACTACATGCTACACTACACTACTACTCGCCACACTATACACTACACCGCTACACACTACCTACACCACTAACCACTACAATACACTACACGACTTACACTAGACAACTGCACTATTATACTCAATTGAAAACGAAGACTGAGTAGTTGAATGAGCAGCTGAGTGAGTGAACTAGTGAGTAGTGAGTGAGTCTAACCGATGCTTGCTTGCGTTCTTCTTCACCAGGCTGATAACATCACGGGTGTTGGACACTTCTCCATCGGTCAGCACCATCAACTATGACATCACAACATCACAGCACCATTCCCTCTGACATCACAACATCACAGCCCCATCAACTATGACATCACAACACCGTCCACTATGACATCACAACACCATCAACTGACATCGCAACATCACAACACCATCAACTATGACATCACATCACAATACCGTCAACTATAACATCATAACATCACATCAACTACGTCTTCTGTGTGTGTGCGTGTACACGTACTCCGTGAGTGCATGTGCAGGTGTTACACATGACGCCTGTGGACCAATTCCATGTGTGTGTGTGTACACGTCTGTGTGTGTACGTCTGTGAGTGTACACGTGTGTGTGTACATGTGTGTGTGTGTACACGTCTGTGTGTGTACGTGTGTGTGTGCATGTACACGTATGCACACGTCTGTGTGTGTACACGTGTGTGTGTGTGGAGAGCAGTAGTATAGTGGTTAGCGCTCTGCTGTGCTATGAAGTTTGCGAACCGGGTTCGATTCCCGCTCACAGCCAACACCAGTGGCGACTATCTGAACCGGTCCGGGGCCTCCCCTAGGTCGACTCAGCCTCAAATGAGTACCTGGTGTGGTGTGTAAACATCGCCACTGGGGAGACAAAGGCGGCTGGGCGTGGTGTTGGCCACCCACCCCCTCGTGTGCCGTGCCGGCCTTCATAGGTGCTCGCTAACAGCACTTGCCCCTACAGTCTGTTACAGGTAACACGGGGGATCTTTGTCTTTATATTTGTGTGTGTGTACGTGTGTGCGTGTGTATATATTAATTAACATATATTTTGACCACGTAGTTCGTGAAGCCTTCAATAGCTGTACTGGAGGAATTTCCATTTTGTACAGATACAATGGGAGGCTGATCGATGCCCGGGTGCGGTGAAGGGATGGCTCCCTATTGCTCAACCACGTTATGTATGCCGATGATCTGGTAATTGCTGCTCACTCAGAGGAGGAGTTGGAGACGCTGCTGACTGGAGCGTGCTACTAAGAGGTGGGGCCTTACCATCAGCCCCACCAAAACTAAGGACCTGCTTGGGTATTTTGTACCATCGGAGACTCCACCCCCACAACTCCCAATCAATGATGGGGCAGTTCTGGAGAGAGTGGAGAGTTTCCCATACCTGGGCTGTGTGCTCATGACCGGCTCCAGTTTAACAGCAGAGGTCTCTCTCCGAATCAGTCGAGCGGCAATATCTTTTCATCGGCTGCATAACGCTGTGTGGAAGCTACCTGGTCTGTCGCTCCGCATGAAGCTTCAGGTCTTTTCGGCCACAGTCATTCCCTCCCTTCTCTACGCTTGCGAAACGTGGGCCCCCATAATTTAGCATCTTCGCCGGTTAGAAACATTTAGACTGGCCTGCCTACGATCCATCCTGGGTTTAACCAGGCTGGATTGTGTGAGGAGCTCAGAAATCCTTGAAAGATCTGGGCAAAGTCCCATCGGTGAGCTCCTCCGGCAGGCAAGGCTGCGTTGGCTGGGTCATGTAGCCCGCATGCCCAGCTACCGCATGCCTTAACAGCTTTTGTTTGGCCGGATCGAGGGGGCTAAACGGGCGCGGCACGGGCTAGAGAAGAGATGGAGTGATGTGGTACAGGAGGACGTGGAGCTGAGTGGACGTGCCGATGACTGGTACCAGCGGTGTCAAAATCGGCCTCAGCGGAGGAGGCTCGTGAAGGACGCTACTGGGCAGTTGGAGGCAGTCGCCCTCCAACAACAACAGAGGGCGGAGGAGCGACGCTCACAACAATGAGCGAAGCACGGGGTGGCTAAAGCACAGCAAGTTGGCACAGTAGGGGGCACAGGTGGTGCATCAGCCAGCCATCTCAGTCAGTCGACCTGTGGCATCTAGGTCTGCCCCGTGACCTCCTGCCAGCGGGCATTCGACACTTCACGTGGCCTCAGGGTGCACATAGCCTGGCACAAGCGTCGTGGTGATGTCACCGCCACTTAGTGGCGAATGGCGGTTGTTGTTGTTGTTGTATTGATGTGTGTGTGCGCGTGTATCTGCGTGTATGTATATTGACGTGCGTCTCTGTGCCTATCTGTGTGTCGACCCAGGGGATCTTTGTAATGTTGGGTTACTCCTTAAAGACACTAAAACCACCCCCAAACCTCCCCACAATGTTGTTGATCACAATGGACTGGCCCAAGCGCACTGCCGAATGACGAGAGGAGGTAGAGGGGGTGGGGGAGGTAACGGTTGGACCGCGCCACTCACCTGCCGGGGGTGTTCCGGCCGGCACGCCGAGCGGTAGATGGCCACCAGCGGCTCCAGGATTTCGGTGCCCCCCAAGTCGGCGCTCATCCCCTTGACGAGCTTCAGCGCCTCGTCCATGCTCGCCTGCGAGTACTCACGGCTCTCCCTGGGCGGGGGGGAGTACAGCAAGCAGGACCGAGATGTCAACTCTCATCACCGGTTACACCGTGGCATGCACAGCCCCCACTCCCCTCCCTCCTCCACACCTCCTGCCCCTTCCCCCCTTGCTCCTCCCTCCCTTTCCTCCCCTCTCCCTCCCTCCCCACTCCACACTCCCTCCCTGTCTCCACACTCCCTCCCAACTCCACACTCCCTCCCTGTCTCCACACTCCCTCCCTGTCTCCACACTCCCTCCATGTCTCCACACTCCCTCCCTGTCTCCACACTCCCTCCCTGTCTCCACACTCCCTCCCCACTCCACACTCCCTCCCCTCTCCACACTCCCTCCCTGTCTCCACACTCCCTCCCCACTCCACACTCCCTCCCTGTCTCCACACTCCCTCCCTACTCCACACTCCCTCCCCACTCCACACTCTCTCCCCTCTCCACACTCCCTCCCCACTCCACACTCCCTCCCCTCTCCACACTCCCTCCCCACTCCACACTCCCTCCCCACTCCACACTCCCTCCCTGTCTCCACACTCCCTCCCCACTCCACACTCCCTCCCTGTCTCCACACTCCCTCCCTGTCTCCAAACTCCCTCCCTGTCTCCACACTCCCTCCCTGTCTCCACACTCCCTCCCTGTCTCCACACTCCCTCCCTACTCCACACTCCCTCCCCACTCCACACTCCCTCCCCACTCCACACTCCCTCCCCACTCCACCCTCACTCCCCACTCCCTCCTCACTCCCCACTCCCTCCTCACTCCTTCCCTCCCTGTCTCCACACTCCCTCCCCACTCCACACTCCCTCCCTTTCTCCACACTCACTCCCTCCCCACACTCCCTCCCTCCCCACACTCACTCTCTCCCCACTCCACACTCACTCCCTCCTCCCTCCCTCCCTGGGGAGGAATGGACATCAGTGAATAAGAGCTTCATAGCTCATCAGATTCATCCTCCTCCACTCTAAATACAGAGTCTGAGTAACAGGGGGGGCTGAGTGCTAGGGGGCTGGTCAAGGAGCTAGGGGATGTGGGAGGGGGGGGCTACGAGGGGGGGGCTGCGGGGGGCTAGGGGTGGAGGCTCACGGGAAGAAGCTGTTGTAGCTGCTTCCAAATGCGTAGACATTGAAGAAGCAGCCGAGAGGCAGACTCTTCAGCAGCAGCATCAGTGTCTCCTGAAGGGGGGGGGGGGGAGCATGGAATTAACATGGCGTAGGCATGGGGGAAGCATTACATGAATATGGGGGCAGCATTGGGGAAACATGACATGTGGGGGCAGCATTGGGGAAGCATGACATGAATATGGGGGCAGCATTGGGGAAGCAAGGGGGAATGATGACATTACATGGGGCAAGCATGAGAAAAGCATAGAAGAAAGGAGGCCACAGTTTAACACGGTGCAAGCAAAGGACTCAGACTCAACACACAGACCCATAGACTTACCACACAAACCCACAGACTCACCACCAGACCCACACCACGCAGAACCACACCACGCAGACCCACAGACTCACCATACAGAGACCCACATAGACCCACACACACACAGAGACCCACACACACAGAAACCCACACTCACCACACAGAGACCCATAGACTCACCACGTAGACCCACAGACTCACCACACAGACCCACAGACTCACCAAAGCAGACCAAAAGACTTACCGCACAGACCCACATACTTACCACACAGACCCACAGACTCACCACACACAGCCCCACAGACTCACAACACAGAGACCCACATAGAGACCCACACACACAGACACCGAGACCCACACAACAACAACAACCTCCATTCGACACTAAGTGGCGGTGACGGCGCTTGTGCCAGGCGATGTGCACGTTGAGGCCACGTGAAGTGTCGAACGCCCGCTCGCAGGTCACGGGGCAGACCCAGGTACCACGGAATGACTGACTGAGACGACTTGCTGATGCATCACCTGTGCCCCCTACTGTGCCAACTTGCTGTGCTATAGCCACCCGGCGCTCCGCTCATTGTTGTGAGCATCGCTTCTCTGCCCTCCATTGTTGTTGTAGGGTGACTGCCTCCAACCCGCCCAGTAGCATCCTTCATGAGCCTCCTCCACAGAGGCCGATCTCGACACCGCTGGTACCAGTCATTGCCAAGTCCACTCAGCTCCACATTCTCTTGTACCACATCACTCAATCCCTTCTCTAGCTCGTGCCGCGCCCGTTTAGCCCCCTCTATCTGGTCGAACAAAAGCCGCTTAGGCATGCGGTGGCTGGACATGCTGGCTACATGACCCAGCCAATGCAGCCTTGCCTGCCGGAGGATCATAGGCAGCCCAGCCTAAATGTTTCTTACTGGCAAAGATGTTCCATTAGGGGGGTCCACGTTTCGCAAGCATAGAGAAGGGAGGGTATGACAGTGGCCGAAAAGACCTGAAGCTTCGTGTGGAGCAACAGACCAGGTAGCTTCCACACAGCATTATGCAACCGATGAAAAGATATTGCTGGACTGATTCGGAGTGAGACCTCTGCTGTGAAACTGGAGCCGGTCATGAGCACACTTCCCAGGACTGGGAAGCTCTCCACTCTCTCCACAACTGCCCCACCACCAACAGGGAGTTGTGGGGGTGGAGTGTCTGATGGTACAAAATACCCAGACAGGTGCTTAGTCTTTAGTCGCACGCTCCAGGTTCAGCAGCAGCGCTTCCAACTCCTCTTCTGAGTGAGCAGTAATTACCAGATCATCGGCATACATAACAATGGTTGACCAATAGGGAGCCATCCCTTGACCGCACCCAGGCATCGATCAGCCTCCCATTGTATTTGTATCAGATGGATATTTCTCCGGTACAGCCATCGAAGGCTTCACGAACTATGTGGTCGAAATTGATGTTAAATAATGTGGCACCTGAGAGGACATCCCTGTCGTACCCCAAGGTGAACAGGGCATGGCTCCGACTCCCAGCCATGTAGTTAACTATCATAAAGGTCCTTAATGATTGTTTCCAGAGAATCAGGGACTCCAAAAGCACGAAGAACAACCCAGTGCCCAGGCCGACTGATGGTATCATAGGCCTTGACCAGGTCAATAAAGCAGAGATGTATCTTGGGGGAATTCCCTACACCTCTGCTGTAGCAGACAGATAGAAAATATGGCATATGTGCAGGAACGACCCTTCCTGAAACTACATTGTGGCTCTGGAAGCCTCTCCTCAGCGTGCCTGGCAAGGCGATGATCAATAATCTTCGCCAGGGCCTTTCTCGTCACACTGAGGAGCGAGATACCTGTGTAGTTGTTACAGTCTGTGCGGTCCCCCTTCTTAAAGCGGGGGACCACCAGGGCATCCTTCCAATCCTGCCAAACCCGTCCAGTGGTCCAGACTGCTGTTATAATGTCAATTAGATTCATCATCATAGGTCTGTGTGTCTCAAGAGACAATTCTTTCGTGCCTTATGAGGTCAGCTGTAGGTTTTTCAGCGCCTAGAATGACTTATTAGGCCAATCCTTGAGTGACAATCCTGGCCACAGCACTTGCAAGTGATTGCGGTGGCAGCTCCAGAGGTATTTATTGCTTTTTCTTTTCGTCGCTCCCTCTTGGTCTGCCAAGCAGTGTGTATTTTCTCCTCGTCTCTCCAGCTGAGTCAGTCGCCGGCAGTTTTATCCCAGTCATTTGGGTTGATGTTGCAGCTATTCATGTCCCGTTTACAGACATCTTTGAAGTGCAGGACTGGGCGACCAGTGACCCGTGTGCCTGATGCCAGCTCGCAATACAAGACATCCTTGGGTATTCTGCCATCCTGCATGCGGCGCACATCTCCAAGCCATCTCAGGCGCCTATGACTGAGTAGGGAGTACATGCTGGGAATGTTGGCCAAGTTGAGGACTGAGGTGTTGGGAATGCAATCTTGCCATCTGATACTGAGGATGCGCCTGACACTATGGAGGTGGAATGTGTTTAGTCGATGTTCTTGATGGGCGTATGTTGCCCAGGACTTAGACCCATAGAGGAGGGTGCTGCGGACACAGGCCCGGTACACCTGCACTTTGGTGTTGAGTGTTAGGGATTTGTTCTCCCACACTCTTTTGGTCAATCTGAACATAGCTGTAGACACCTTCCCAATGCGCTTGTCAATCTCTGTGACAGGAGACAAATTGCAGGTGATGGTGGAATCCTAGTAGGTGAGGTCCTGAACGGCTTCCAGGGTGTCGCTGCCAATGTTTATGGAAGGGGTGTCTCTGACATCCTGGCCCAAGACATTGGTCTTTTTCAGACTGATTGTCAGGCCAAAGTTGTTGCAGGCATTGGCAAGGTGGTCGATGTGTGTCTGCAGACCTTGTTCTGTGTGAGCTGTCAGCGTGGCACCATCAGCGAATAGGAGTTCTCTTTTGAGGACTTTGCGGACTTTGGTTTTGGATCTGAGACGGCCAAGGTTGAAGAGTTTGCCATCAGAACTTGTATGGAGACAGACTCCCTCTTCTGCTGTCCCAAAGGCATGTGAGCATAAGTGAGAAAAAGATGCCAAACAGTGTTGGGGCAAGCACGCACCCCTGCTTTACACCGCTGAGTATGAGAAATTCCTCTGAGGTGGTGCCGCTGTGCTGTATTCCTTTCATGTTGTCATGGAAAGAGGAGATGACTGCCAGCAGCTTCGGTGGGCAGCCAATCACTTTGAGGAGTTTGAAGATGCCTCCCCTACTGATGAGGTCAAAGGCTTTTGTAAGATCAATGAATGCCAAGCACAGGGGCATTCTCTGTTCTCGACATTTCTCCTGTAGCTGATGCAAGGAGAAGAGCATGTCAATTGTGGACCTTCCTGCTTTGAAGCCACACTGAGCCTCAGGATAGTCCTCTCAGCTAGTATCTGTAACCTGCTGAGAACCACACGGGCAAAGGTTTTCCCCACGATGCTCAGCAGGTAGATGCCACGGTAGTTATTGCAGTCCCCACAGTCACCCTTGTTTTTATATAGGGTGATGATTTTGGAGTCTCTCATGTCTTGAGGCATTACTCCTTCTTCCCAGCACTGGCAAATAAGTTCATTGAGTTTTGTGAGGATGGTGGGTTTCCCACATTTCAGGACCTCAGGTGTGATGCCGTCCTGTCCCGGGGACTTGCCGCTGGCTAGTGAGTTGATGGCATTGTCAAGTTCCTTCAAAGTTGGAACATTCTCCAGTACGTGTCTTGTTGGTAGGGGCTTTACATAAGATCCACCTGCCAGAATAGTCTGTGCAAAAACGCCACCCTCCCTCAGCATTTCGCTTTGGAGATCATCTCTGACCGGTGCCTATCCTGGTCTCAAACTATGGATCGCCTTCAGTATTCGTACTTCCTCAACAGATGGCACCTCAGCCAGCCACTCACAGGGGGTAACTTCTTCTAATATTTAAGGCCACTTTGCCCCATGATGTTTTGCAGGCTGATTTCCCCTCCCCCAGGACTTCACAGAAATGCTCAGCAAATCTGCAAACCTCTTCCTGGGGGTCGGAGATTGGATCACCGTCCTTTTCCCTAATGATGGAAATAGGTGTGTACTTTTTTGATGGAATTAAAGAGTGATTTGTGATCGCCGGCCACTGAGGCAAATTCCATCTCCTCAGCAACCCGTGACCACCACCCATCCTTGCAGCGCCTCAGCTCTCAAAACCTCCGAGTGAAGGCTGCGGTGAGCCTCCTTATTCTCCGATGTTGGATGTTGTAGATAACGGGAGTGGGCCTGTCGTTTTATCTCAGCCAGCCTGAACACCTCCTCTGTCAGCGAGTGTCCCTGGAGAGGACTGGACCATGTACCCAATGCAGTCATTGCAGCTCCATGAGCCACAGTCCTAAACCTCGCCCATTTTCTCTCGGCATGAGGAGGAGTGGGGGGGATGATGCCTACCCCAGCTACAAGCATTGATGAAATTCTCGCTTGGAACTTTCAACATCTAGCTGAGACCAGGCCACTGTGGGTTTGAATGGGGGTCTTGGGTATATACCCACCACCGGAGTGAAAGAATGGCAGGCACATCTTACAGATGACAAGCCGATGGTCAGTGGGCAGATCAGCTCCACGGTAGGTCCTGGTGTCATGGACATAGGCCAGCATCCGCTGTTCCATCACTATATAGTCCAGCAGATCTTCTTGCTTCGACCCGGCATGCATCCATGATGTTGTGTGGACGCACCGATGCCGGAACAGCGTATTGGTAATTACAAGCCCATGGGCTGCACAAAAGTTTAGCAGCCTCCTACCGTTGTTATTGAGTTGATCTGGCCCATGCCTTCCAATAACTCCAGACCAAGTGCCACCATTATGACCAAATCAGGCATTTAAGTCACCTAACAGGATGACTCTATCCCGAAGGGCCACTTTAGATAGCACCCATGACAGGAGGTCATAGAAGGCATCTGACTCATCTGCCTTGCCTGCATCCCTCCACCGATGTTCATCTTCAGTGGGGGCATAGGTAACCACGAACACCACTCCTGGCCTCTGGTTAATGGGAAGACGAGCCCAAAGTAGCCTGGGGTTTACAGCTTCCCACACCTCACTGCCATGCTCACCTACACACACACAGCGAGCCACATCACACAAAGAGACCAACACACACAGAGACCCACACACACACAGAGACCCACACACACACACAGATATCCACACACACACAGACACCCACAGACTCACCACACAGATACCCTCACACACACACATACACAGAGACCCACACACACACAAAGACCCACAGACTCACCACACAGATACCCACACACATACACAGAGACCCACACACACACAAAGAGATCTACACACAAACACACAGAGACCCCCACACACACATAGAGCCCCACAGACTCACCACACAGAGACCTACATCACACAGAGACCCACACACACACACAGAGACCCACACACACACATATATCTACACACACACACAGAGACCCACAGACTCACCACACAGAGACCCACACACACACACAGAGACCCACACACACATAGGGCCCCACAGCGACGTGCCCACCTTGGCACTATGGATACGAGTCTCCCTTCCTCCGCTGCCATCATTGACCATGGGGCATTCCATGCTGCCGGAGCAGTCCACCACGAAGATGAACTCCCCCTTCTGAGTCAACGCCTCTGCCCCCTTGGTGGACTTTGTCTCTCCCGCATCCGGGAAGAAGTTCAGCATGGCCACTGTGTCACTCATCAAAGAGGCTGGGAGGAGGTGAGGGGGGAGGGGGAAGGGGGGAAGCAGGAGGTTGAGGGGGAGGGGAGAGGAGGAAGGAGGAGGGGGGAAGAGTGGGGGGAAGGGGGATCAGGGGGAGGAGGAAAGGGGCAGAGAGGAGGAGGATCAGAGTTTGGCCGCGTTGTCGTGGCTGTTGACTTCCTCGCCTGGTACGCACGAGGTTGTGGGTTGTTGCGAGGGCTTAGAGACAGCGATGATAGTGGGAGGGCTGGTGAGGTGACCTGGAGGTGGGCTGAGTAACTGGGTCATTGACAGATGGATGAGTGACAAGGTAAGTGAGTGACTGTATAGCCTATGGGTGAGTTACTAGGTCGGTGAGTGACTGGTTAAGAGAGTGACTAAGTGGATGAGTAATTGGGTGAGTGAGTAGGTGTGTGGTGAATTACTGAGTGAATGAGTGACTAGGTAAGTGAGTGAGATCGTGAGTGACTGATTGGGAGAGTGACTAGGTGAGTGAGTGACCGGGTGAGTGAGACTGTGTAGATGAGTAACTGGGTGGATGAGTGATTGGGTGAGTGACTAGGTGGGTGGGTGAGTGAGTGAGTGACTAGGTGGGTGGTGGGTGAGTGAGTGACTGGGTGATTGACTAGGTGGGTGAGTTACTGGGCGAGTGAATGATTGTATTCGTTCAGCAACCAGAAGCCAATGCAGCTCAGTGAGCCAAACGAATTCGTTGCTATAAGGTCGCCGCACTTATTACACACAAAGTGCTTGCAACAAATGAACCACAATACCACCTCGCTGACCTCAATAAGGAGCTATAGGCCATCATCATGCGACACTCCACTCATCCTCGCAGCAGCGGCTTCTGGCTAAGCCATCGAAAAAAGACGGTCACCACACCGTTGCTCTGCTGTCAGATACTATATACACTACACATTACACTATACACTACACTACTATACACTACACTTGTATACACTACACTACTATACACTACACTGTACACTACTATACACTACACTTCTATATACTACACTACAATACACTGCACTTCTATACACTACACTGTACACTACACTACTATTCACTGCACTGTACACTACACTACTATACACTACACTTCTATACACTACACTACTATACACTACAATACACTACACTACTATACACTACACTGTACACAGCACTATACTCTACACTACTATACACTACACTACTATACACTACACTTCTAAACACAACACTATACACTAAATTTCTATACACTGCACTACTATACACTGCTATACACTACACTCTACACTACACTATAAACGACACTAAACACTACACTCTACACTACACTATACACTACAATACACGACACTAAACTTCTGGCTAGCTATTGAACAAAGACGGTGGTCACTGCATCATCGCTGCAATGTTTTCAGATGCGCTGCTTCTGCAGCCGTCTGGAATGCTCTTCCTTACCAATATTAGGAAGCCACTGGACCTGTGCATCTTTATTGACAAACTCTGTGGGTATCTGTGTGATGGGGCTGTGGGTTTCTGTGTCATGAGTCTATGGGTCGCTGTGTGGTGAGTCTGTGGGTCTCTAATGTGATGCGTCTAGGGGTCTCTATGCGAGTCTAAGAGTCTCTGTGTGGTTAATATATTGGTTTCTGTGTGTCTATGGGTCTCTGTGTAATGCGTCTGTGGGTCTCTGTGTGAGTCTATGGGTCTCTGTGTGAGTTTATGGGTCTTTGTGTGAGTCTATGGGTCTCTGTGTGAGCCTATGGGTCACTTTGTTAGTCTATGTAAGTGTGAAAGTTGAACTTTTTTCACACCATACAGAGCCATAAGTGCTAATCGGAGGTACTGAGGAAGGACAATATGCTATGGGTCTTTGTATGAGTGTGTGGGTGTTTATGTGTCTATGGTATTGTCTTTGTCTTTTGTGTGCCGGCTCTCACTGGTGCTGCTACTCGCTACTAACAGCACATGCCCCCACCATCCCCTGTTTCGATGCTACCTGGGGGACCCTCCATCTGTGTGTGTATCTGTGTGTGTGTCTCTGCGTGTTTTGTGTGTGTGGAATTAGCGGGAAAGGTCCTGGCAAGGATTATTCAACATCGCCTTGCCAGGCACGCTGAGGAGAGGCTTGCGGAGCCCCAATGTGGTTTCAGGAAAGGGCGGTCCTGCACAGATGCCATATTTTCTTTCCGTCTGCTACAGCAGAGGTGTAGGGAATTAAAAAAAAGACCTACATCTCTATTTATTGACCTGGTCAAGGCCTATGATACCATCAGTAGGCTTGGGCTGTGAGTTGTTCTTCGTGCTTTTGGAGTCCCTGACAGCTGCTCACAATCATTAAGGACCTTCATGATGGTGAGAAGGCCCGGGTAAAACTAAGTGGCCGGGAGTTGGAGCCATTCCCTGTACACCTTGGGGTGTGACAGGGATGTCCTCTGGTTCCCACATTATTTAACATCTATTTGGACTACGTAGTTCGTGAAGCCTTCAATAGCTGTACCGGAGGAATTTCCATCTGGTACAGATACAAAGGGAGGCTGATCGATGCGCGGGTGCGATCAAGGGATGGCTCCCTATTGCTCAACCATTGTTATGTATGCCGATGATCTGGTAATTGCTGCTCACTCAGAGGAGGAGTTGGATACGCTGCTGTTGAACCTGGAGCTTGCCACTAAGAAGTGGGGCCTTACAATCAGCCCCACCAAAACTAAGCACTTGCCTGGGTATTTTGTACCATGGGACACTACACCCCCACAACTCCCAATTGATGATGGGGCAGTTGTGGAGAGAGTGGAGAGTTTCCCATACCAGGGCAGTGTGCTTATGACCGGCTCCGGTTTGGCAGCAGAGGTCTCACTCCGAATAAGTGGAGCGGTATTATCTTTTCATCGGCTGCGCAACGCTGCGTGTAATTCCACACGAAGCTTCAGGTCTTCTCGGCCACAGTGATGCCCTCCCTTCTCTAAGCTAACGCGGACCCCCCCGAATGGAACATCTGCGCCGGTTAGAAACATTCAAGCTGGCATGCCTACGATCCATCCTGGGTTTAACCAGGCTGGATTGTGTGAGGAGCTCATAAATCCTCAAAAGATCTGGACACATTCCCATCAGTGAGCTCCTCCAGCAGGCAAGGCTGCATTCTATGTGTCATGTAGCCCGCATGCCCAGCTACAGCATGCCCAAGCAGCTTCTGTTTGGCCGCATAAAAGGGGCTAAACAGGCACGACATGGGCTGAAGAAGCGATGGACTGATGCGGTACGAGAGGATGTGGAGCTGAGTGGACCTGCCAATGACTGGCCCCAGTGGTTTCAAGATCGGCCTCTATGGAGGAGGCTCGTGAAGGACGCTACTGGGCAGTTGGAGGCAGTCGCCCTCCAGCAAGAATGGAGGGCAGAGGAGCGACTTTCACAACAACTAGCGGAGCACCGGGCGGCTAAAACGCAGCAAGTTGGCACAGTGGGGGGTACAGCAGGTGGTGGTGCATCTACCGGTCATCTCAGTCGGCCAACAAATGGGACCTGCTGGATCTGTGCTGAGACCTCCTGTCAGCACCGAGCATTTGACACTTCACGTGGCCTCAAAGTAAACCTGGCCTGGCACAGGCGCCATGATGACGTCACCGCCACTTAGTGGCGAATGGCAGTTGTTGTTGTGTGTCTGTGTGTGTCTGTGTGTGTGCATCCGTGTGTCTCTGTACCCTTAGCCGTGTCGCCCGCCTCCAGCAGTGCGAAGGGGCGGTGCTTCTGGATTGGGTGGACAAACAGCTCCACGTCACGGTCCATCTTGAACCCTTCCCCCAGAGACACCTGGGCACACGGTGGGGGTGGTGGTGGAGCAGCAGTGGGGAGGGGACAGGAGGGAGGGTGAGGGAGGGAGGGGGAGGGAGGGTGAGGGAGGGAGGGTGGGAGGGAGTGGAGGGAGGGAGTGGAGGCCATCACCGCTCATGGCCACCATATAGTTCAAACAAAAAACACAACCCCGGCGCAATCCAGAACTGTTTGATGCAACCCGGCAGAACCCGGCGCAATCCAGAGCTACGCGGCGCAACCCACAGAGACCCAGAGACTCATAAAGAACCATAGAGACCCACAGAAACCCAGAGACTCATAAAAAACCATAGAGACCAACAGAGACCGAGAGATTCATATAGAAGCAGAGACTCATATAGAACTATAGTGACCAACAAAACACCCATACTCATAGAGATCCATACTAAAACTAAACTATTTTCAGAAGTGACCTGTCAATCACAAATGATAGCCCAACCAAGTGGCTTATCATCATCATCATCACTAGAAAATGTTTAGCAGTAGCCAAATACTCTTAAACGCGCTGAGACTTTGATTCTAAATGTGGAGGGGAAAAACTGGAGCATCTGCAAACTCCAAATATACAACAAGCATCATCAGGCTCAGGCATCAGAACCCACGACCTCCTGTTTACCAGGTGATGTAGTTAAAATCTCACCACGTGGAGAAAGACGCAAACTCAAACTCATCAAGGTCAAGATTGAAATCCCCAAATTCCTGCGTAACAGGCGAGGTAGTTAACACCTCGTCAGGGTCGGGATCGGAACCCACGACCTCACGCATACCAATAGAGGTAGTTAACATCTCGTCAGGGTCGGGTTCGGAACCTACAACCTCCTGCGTAGCAGGCGAGGTAGTTAACATTTCCTCAAGGTTGGGATCGGAACTCACGACCTCCTGCGTACCAGGCGAGGTAGTTAACATCTCATCAGAGTCGGGATCGGATCCCAAGACCTCTTGCATACCAGGCAAAGTAGTTAACATCTTTTCAGGATTGGGATCGGAACCCACAACCTCCTTTGTAGCAGTCGAGGTGGTTAACATTTAGTCAGGGTCAGGATCGGAACCCACGACCTCTTGCGTACCAGGCGAGAAAGTTAACATCTCCTAGCCGGCACGTAGCCATCCTTGCCTGAGCCACGGAGTTGCCAGGGCCCGAGAAGGAGACCGGCCCAAGGTTGCAGGCCGAGGTGACGTCAGCGATGCCTCCCGGAGCCTCGGCGCGGAGATGGAAGGCCATTGAGTAAGGCAGCGGCTGGGAGCAGCTCACAAACGGCACAAAGGGCAGCGCGGAGTCTGCTGATGATGAACCTGGTGGTGGGAGAGAGGGGATGGGAAGGGAGGGAGCAGAGGGAGGGAGCAGAGGAAGGGAGGGAAGGAGGCGTGTGTTCGTGTTCATATTTGCGGTGTCTCTCTCACCATCATCACGGTGGCTAGAAAATGTAAAGTTCCTCCCCTGGTACAGGAGTTTGTGAGTTTGATACCAGCCCTGACGCCTGCTGTATATTTGGAGTTTGCGTTGTCTCTCTCCCCGTGGTCACATGGATTTTTCTCCGGGTCCTCCGTGTCGGAGACTGAGCCAGTGAGTTCAAATTGGCCACATTGTTCTCACCGCGATATCGCTGCGTTACGACCGCTGTTGTTGTAGTCATCTCGTCGTCTCACCGGGCGGCGTGTAGCGAGGGTTGAGCACCGTGGGCAGGCAGAATCTCACCGCTCCATCCGGCTCCACCGCCAACTCGCTCACAAACTCCACCCGCAGCTCCGCCCCCTCGCCCGCCCCCAGGTTGCCCAGCATGCACTGGAACACGTCGCCCCGGTCCTCGGAGAGCAGGAAGGCCGTGTGGCCTGAGCTCATCGCATCGTCGTACTCCTCCTTGGCCTGGGGACACGATGCACCCCGTGGGAGACAAGGTGGCACTCAATCATCCACTCACACATTCACCCATTCACTCATTCAACCACTCACCCACCCACTCACACACTCACTCAGCCACCCCCTAACTCACTCAACCACTCAATAACCCATTCACGAGCACACTCACCTACCCACTCACTCACCCACTCACACACACCCACCCATTATCTCATTCATCGACTCACCCACCCACCCACTCAATAGCCCACTCACCCACACACTCACTCACTTGCTTATTCATTCAACCACTCACCCACCAACCCACTCACACACTCACTCGCCCACCCACTCACTCACTCACTCGACCACTCACTAACCCATTGACTAGCACGCTCACCTACTCACTCACTAACTCATTGACTAGCAAAAACACCTACCCACTCACTCACAAACTCATCCATTTACCCACATACCCTCACACCAAAAACAAACATCCCCCGTATAGCCCGAACAGACTGTTCGGGCAAGTGCTGTTAGCGTGCACATATGAAGGCCGGCACGGCACACGAAGGGGGTGGGTGGCCAACACCATGCCTGGCCGCCTTTGTCTCCCCAGTGGCGATATTTACACCACCGCACCGGCTACTCATTTAAGACCGAGTCTACCTAGGGGAGGCCCAGGACCTGTTCAGATAATCACTATCACCACCCACTCACTCAAACACCCAGCCACTCACCCACCCACCCATTCACTCATACACCCACTCATTCTCCCACCCACTCACTCACCCACCCACCCACTCACTCACTCACCCACCCACTAACCCACCCACCTTCTCCTTCTCCTTAATGACGGCGTCAATGTGACGCCCGTTGAGGCTGGCGCTGAACGCGTGCACCGCCGAGTCGTCGTCCAGCGGAAAGAGGAAGGAGGCCTCCACGGGGAACGCCTCAGCATTGAGGTAGCTGAGCGTGGCGCGCACAGAGGCCACGAAGCCCTGCACGCTCGCCTCCACCGACACGGCCTTCAGCGGCACCGCTGGTGAGGAGAGGTCAGGTGAGGTCATGTGAGGTCAGGTGAGTTGGTGAGGTGAGGTGAGTTGGTGAGGTCGGGTGAAGTGAGGTGAGGTCAGGTGAGGCGAGGCTCGCATTATCATGAACGGGTCTTTTTCGTTTTGAAAATGACACCCACTTAGTCACTTGCCCCAGCCACTACGACATGGTCATGCCCCACTCAGCCGCCACCCCCGCCCACAACCATAGCCATGCCCACTCAACCACAAGCCCCACTTACAACATAGCCACGCCCACACAGCCACTAGCCCCACCTACTACAACAGCCACGCCCACTCAGCCACTAGCCACGCCCACATCGACATCGTCATGCCCCCCTACGCCACTAGCTCCACCCACATTGTCACAGCCATGCCCCCTCAGCCGCTAGCCCCACACACCTCTCCAGACAGATAAAGTCACGTAAATAGAAAAATAATAATAAAAATAAAATAAAAATGAAACAAAAACCACAACGTTTCGATCACAACACAAGCGACCGTCTTTCCTCCTGAAGACGATCACTTGTGTTGTGATCAAAACGTCGTGGTTTTTGTTTTATTCACTATATTTTTATTATTATTATTTTTATCTACGTGACTTTACTGAAAGAACCAAAGAATATGAATTCCTGTAGTCACGTAAGTTTTAAGTATAAAAAAAATACCAACATACACGCAACAAAGACAAAGATACCCTGTATAGCCTTAGCAGACTATTGGGGCAAGAGCTGGTAGCGAGCAGCACCAATAAAGGCCAGCACGGCACATGAAGCATTGGGTGGCCAGCACGGCACATGAAGCATTGGGTGGCCAGCACAACGTTCGGCCGCCTTTGTCTCCCTTGTGGCACCAGGTAGTCATTTGAAGCTGAGTCAACCTAGGGGAGGCCCAGTACCGGTTCAGATAGTGCCACACTCGAACAAACGTACACATAACACCTGCAATTCGCCACTAAGTGACGGTGACAACACAACGGCACCTGTGCCAGTCTAGGTGCACTTTGAGGCCACGTTAAGTGTCCAAGGGTCGCTGCTGGCAGGAGGTCACGGTACAGACCCAGAAGGTGCCATGGGTTGACCGACTGAGATGACTGGCAGATACACCAGCAATGCCCACTACTGTGCCAACTCGCTGCATTTTATCCACCTCGCGCTCCGCTCAGTACAGACACACACTCATCCTGCGTACACACAGACACTCATCCTGAGTACACACACACACTCATCCTGAGAACACACACACACTCATCCTGAGTACACACACACTCATCCTGAGTACACACACACACACTCATCCTGAGTACACACACAGACACTCACCTTTCTCTTGATACTCATGAACGAAGATGAGTCCACAATTCATGATTGCAGATGGCGATCCCTGTGTGTGAGAGGGGGGGTGGACAGCAATTAGGCAACTCACTGGGGCACACTGAAGAAATAAGTAGTAATGGAAGAACTTCACGACTCCAGGAAGTGGCCCCGAAGCTTTCCATAACGTAAGGAACCATGGCCAATTACAGCCAACGTCAGTTGATCGTGGACAATTAGACCCAAGCCGAAACATAACGTATAAAAATGTTTAAAAATATATATATTTTTTTTATGATAGAATATAGTCTTATCATTAGTATGACATAAATATACCAAGTTTGCAGTCGATACCACATTGGTAAGTGGGTTAAAAATGAGTTACAAGATTTGAGAATACAACGACAACAACAGACAGAGCGAGTTAAATGAAAGCGTGTAAAAAGTAAACTGTGTTTACTCTCCGAGGTGAAATGCGACACTGAGCTCGAACCAAATGATTCACGCGGCACGAGCAGAATTCCACCTCGCTCTGGTGATGGTGGGGGAGGTGGTGGTGGGGGTGGTGCTGGAGGGAGTGCTGGTGGTGGCGGTGGTGGTTGTGTTGGGGGTGGTGGTGGTGTTAGTGGTGGAGGTGGTGGTGACTATGGTGCAGGTGCCGGCGGTGGTGGTGGTGGTGGTAGAGGGGGTCGTGGGGGTGGAGGCAGTGGTGGTGGTGGAGGTGGTGGTTCTGGAGGTGGTGGTGCCAGCAGTGGTGGTGGTTGTGGTGGTGGAGGTGGTGGTGGAGGTGATGGTGCTGGAGGTAGTGGTGGTGCCAGCGGTGGTGGTGGTTGTGGTGGTGGAGGTGGTGGTGGTGGTGCTGGAGGTAGTGGTGCAGGTGCTGGCGGTGGTGGTGGTGGTAGAGGGGGTGGTGGGGGTGGAGGCAGTGATGGTGCTGGAGGTGGTGGTGCTGGAGGTGGTGGTGCCAGCGGTGGTTGTGGTGGAGGTGGAGGCAGTGGTGGTGGTGGTGCTGGAGGTAGTGGTGCAGGTGCCGGCGGTGGTGGTGGTGGTGGTAGAGGGGGTGGTGGGGGTGGAGGCAGTGATGGTGCTGGAGGTGGTGGTGCTGGAGGTGGTGGTGCCAGCGGTGGTTGTGGTGGAGGTGGAGGCAGTGGTGGTGGTGGTGCTGGAGGTAGTGGTGCAGGTGCCGGCGGCGGTGGTGGTGATGGTGGCGGTCAGCGCTACGCTGCACTACGAACCCGGCAACCCGACTGCAATTCTCGCTGACGGCCAACACCGCCCTGAGCCACCTGCCCGAGGTCGACTCAGCCTCAAATGAGTCCCTGGTGCAGCGGTGTAGCAGTAAACATAAAATACACCACATTATACTATGCTACTATACACTACACTACTATACACTACCATATAACAGATGTAGAGGCGAAGGCAGCTGGGCGGGTGTGGTGCTGTCCACCTACCCCCTCTGTGCGTGCCACAGTGCCGGCCTTCATAGGCGCTACTCCTGCTACTCGCTACAACTAACAAACAGCACTTGCCCCAGCAGTCTGTTCCAGGCTACACGGGGGACCTTTGTCTTTGGTTGAGGTGTTAGTGGTGGTGGTGGTATGCAAAGGTTGTGCTGTGGGTCGCCTGATAACAAGTTTCGGAAAAAAAATGTTAAATCATTCATGGGACTGCTGCCCGTTGCTGCTGCTGTGTGGTTGTCTGAGAATAGGTTTTCCCCTTTTTTCTGGCAACAAAACAGCTGCGTTAAGATGTGAAAACACCAAACTGAAACCTTTTACAAGGAACCACGTCAGCATTAACCACACTACTTGTGGTCAGAATGCAAACAAAAAACACACTGATAATATATGCATTGTCTTTGAAACCGATTGGTCCACACCAGAGACAGCTTTCTGAAAGAAAGTACGAACACAACCCATAGACTAGCACCGCACACCGCACCCGTAGACTAACACAGCCGATAGACTAACACTGCCCAATGACACTGCACCCACAGACTATCACTGCAACCATAGACTAATGCTACTCACAGACTCTAAAAGAAAGTTGTCTCTGGTGTGGACCAATCAGTTTCAAAGACAATGCATATATGATCAGAGTATGTGTTTTGTTTGCATTCTGACCACAAGTATTGTGGTTAATGGAGACGTGATTCATTGTAAGAGGTTTCAGTTTGGTGTTTTAACATCTTAACACCTGTTTTGTTGCCAGAAAAAAAAAGGGGAAAACCTATTCTCATATTTTGGAACTGGAAAAGGAGGTCCCATGATGTGGGGTAGTCTCTTTTGTTATCCTAAATATGTATTAGCAGCCTATGAAAGAGTGAGGCCGCCGATGGTGGTGTTGATGGTGGTGATGGTGGTGATGTTTATGGTGTTGATGGTGGTGATGGTGGTGTTGATGGTGATGGTGGTGATGATGGTGGTCATGGTGATGCTGATGATTATGGTGATTCTAAAAGAAACACATGCACACCAAATAGACACACCCGTTTACAACAAGCAATCGAGTCTGAATTAGCCACACAAAAACTCCCCAATGACACTGCACCCACAGAATAAAGACCGCACCCTTAAACGAACACTACCCATACACCAAAAAACGCACCCATAAACTATCACCACACCCATAGACTAACACAGCCGATAGACTAACACTGCCAAATGACACTGCATCCATAGACTATCACTGCACCCATAGACTAACACTACCCATAGACTAACACCGCACCCATAGACTATCACTGCCCAATGACACTGCACCCATAGACTAACACCACCTATAGAATAACACCGCACCCATAGACTAACACTGCCCATAGAATAACACTACTTGTAGACTAACACTGCACCTATAGATGAACACCGCACCCAGAGACTAACACTACCCATAGACTAACACGGCACCCATAGACTAGCACTGCCAATAAACTAACACTGAACCCATAGACTACACCGCACCCATAGACTAACATCGCACCAATAAACTAACACTGCCCATAGACTAACACTGGACCTATAGACTAACACTGCCCAAAGACTTACACCGCTTCCATAGACTAACACCGCACCCATAGACTAACACCGCACCCATAGACTAACACCGCACCCATAGACTAACACCGCACCCATAGACTAACACCGCACCCATAGACTAACACCGCACCCACAGACTAACACCGCACCCACAGACTAACACCGCACCCACAGACTGACACCGCACCCACAGACTAACACCACACCCGCAGACTAACACCGCACCCATAGACTAACACCACACCCGCAGACTAACACCGCACCCATAGACTAACACTACCCATAGACTAACACTACCCACAGACTAACACCGCACCCATATAATAACACCGCACCCATAGACTAACACCGCACCCACAGACTAACACCGCACCCAGAGACTAACACCGCACCCATAGACTAACACCACACCCGCAGACTAACACCGCAGCCATAGACTAACACTACCCACAGACTAACACCGCACCCACAGACTAACACCGCACCCGCAGACTAACACCCCACTCACACACTAACACCGCACCCATAGACTAACACTGCACCCACAGACAAACACTACCCATAGACTAACACCGCACCCACAGACTAACACCGCACCCACAGACTAACACCGCACCCACAGACTAACACGGCACCCACAGACTAACACCGCACCCACAGACTAACACCGCACCCACAGACTAACACCGCACCCACAGACTAACACCGCACCCACAGACTAACACCGCACCCGCAGACAAATACCGCACCCACAGACTAACACCGCACCCGTAGACTAACACCGCACCCACAAACAAACACTCCCCATAGACTAACACCGCACCCACAGACAAAAACTACCCATAGACTAACACCGCACCCATAGAATAACACTACCCACAGACTAACACCGCACCCACAGACTAACACCGCACCTGCAGACGAACACAGCACCCACAGACTAACACTACCCACAGACTAACACCGCACCCACAGACTAACACCGCAACCGTAGACTAACACCGCACCCGCAGACTAACACCGCACTCACACACTAACACCGCACCCACAGACTAACACCGCACTCACAGACTAACACCGCACTCACACACTAACACCGCACCCATAGACTAATACCGCACCCACAGACTAACACCGCACCCGCAGACTAACACCCCCCTCACACACTAAGACCGCACCCATAGACTAACACTGCACGCACAGACAAACACTACCCATAGACTAACACCGCACCCACAGACTAACACCGCACCCACAGACTAACACCGCACCCACAGACTAACACCGCACCCACAGACGAACACTACCCACAGACTAACACCGCACCCACAGACTAACACCGCACCCATAGACTAACACCGCACCCGGAGACGAACACCGCACCCACAGACTAACACCGCACCCGTAGACTAACACCGCACCCACAGACTAACGCCGCACCCACAGACTAACACCGCACCCATAGAATAACACCGCACCCACAGAAAAACACTACCCATAGACTAACACCGCACCCACAGACTAACACCGTACCCACAGACTAACACCGCACCCACAGACTAACACCGCACCCACAGACTATCACCGCACCCACAGACTAACACCGCACCCACAGACTAACATCGCACCCGCAGACTAACACCGCACCCACAGACTAACACCGCACCCGCAGACTAACACCGCACCCACAGACTAACACCGCACCCGTAGACTAACACCGCACCCATAGACTAACACCGCACCCACAGACTAACACCGCACCCGCAGACTAACACCCCACTTACACACTAATACCGCACCCATAGACTAACACTGCACCCACAGACAAACACTACCCATAGACTAACACCGCACCCACAGACTAACACCGCACCCACAGACTAACACCGCACCCACAGACTAACACGGCACCCACAGACCACCACCGCACCCACAGACGAACACTACTCACAGACTAACACCGTACCCACAGACTAACACCGCACCCACAGACTAACACCGCACCCACAGACTAACACCGCACCCACAGACTAACACCGCACCCGCAGACTAACACCGCACCCACAGACTAACACCGCACCCGCAGACGAACACTGCACCCACAGACTAACACCGCACCCACAGACTAACACCGCACCCACAGACTAACACCGCACCCGTAGACTAACACCGCACCCACAAACAAACACTCCACATAGACTAACACCGCACCCACAGACAAAAACTACCCATAGACTAACACCACACCCATAGAATAACACTACCCACAGACTAACACCGCACTCACAGACTAACACCCCACCCATAGACAAACACTACCCACAGACTAACACCGCACCCACAAACTAACACCGCACCTGCAGACGAACACAGCACCCACAGACTAACACCCCACTCACACACTAACACCGCACCCATAGACTAACACCGCACCCACAGACTAACACTACCCGTAGACTAACACCGCACCCACAGACTAACACTACCCACAGACTAACACCGCACCCACAGACTAACACCGCACCCGTAGACTAACACCGCACCCACAGACTAACACCGCACTCACACACTAACACCGCACCCACAGACTAACACCGCACTCACACACTAACACCGCACCCATAGACTAACACCGCACCCACAGACTAACACTACCCGTAGACTAACACCGCACCCAGAGACAAACACTACCCATAGACTAACACCACACCCACAGACTAACACCGCACCCACAGACTAACACCGCACCCACAGACTAACACCGCAACCAGACTAACACCGCACCCACAGACTAACACCGCACCCACAGACTAACACCGCACCCAAAGACTAACACCGCACCCACAAACACTACCCATAGACTAACACCGCACCTACAGACAAACACTACCCAAAGACTAACACCGCACCCACAGAATAACACCGCACCCACAGACTAACACCGCACCCGTAGACTAACACCGCACCCACAAACACTACCCATAGACTAACACCGCACCCACAGACAAAAACTACCCACAGACTAACACCGCACCCATAGAATAACACTACCCACAGACTAACACCGCACCCACAGACTAACACCGCACCTGCAGACGAACACAGCACCCACAGGCTAACACTACCCACAGACTAACACCGCACCCACAGACTAACACCGCACCCGTAGACTAACACCGCACCCGCAGACTAACACCGCACTCACACACTAACACCGCACCCACAGACTAACACCGCACCCGTAGACTAACACCGCACCCACAGACTAACACCGCACCCACAGACTAACACCGCACCCACAGACTAACACCGCACCCACAGACTAACACCGCACTCACACTAACACAGCACCCATAGACTAACACCGCACCCACAGACTAACACCGCACCCGCAGACTAACACCCCACTCACACACTAACACCGCCCCATAGACTAACACTGCACCCACAGACAAACACTACCCATAGACTAACACCGCACCAACAGACTAACACCGCACCCACAGACTAACACCGCACCCACAGACTAACACCGCACCCATAGACTAACACTGCACCCACAGAGTAACACCGCACCCGTAGACTAACACCGCACCCGCAGACTAACACCGCACCCATAGACTAACACCGCACCCACAGACTAACACCGCACCCGTAGACGAACACCGCACCCATAGACTAACACCGCACCCACAGACTAACACCGCACCCATAAACCCTTCCCAAAGACTAACGACGCACCCACAGACAAACACTACCCACAGACTAACACCGCACCCACAGACTAACACTACCCACAGACTAACACCGCACCCACAGACTAACACCGCACCCACACACTAACACCGCACCTGCAGACGAACACTGCACCCACAGACTAACACCGCACCCACAGACTAACACCGCACCCACAGATTAACACCGCACCCGTAGACTAACACCGCACCCACAGACTAACACCAAACCCACACACTAACACCGCACCTGCAGACGAACACTGCACCCACAGACTAACACCACATCCACACACTAACACCGCACCCACAGACTAACACCGCACCCACAGACTAAAACCGCACCCACAGACTAACACCGCACCCATAGACTAACACTACCCATAGACTAACACCACACCCACAGACTAACACCGCACTCACAGACTAACACCGCACCCACAGACTAACACCGCACCCATAGACTAACACTGCACCCACAGACTAACACCGCACCTGCAGTTGAACACTGCACCCACAGACTAACACCACACCCACAGACTAACACCACACCCACAGACTAACTCCGCACCTGCAGACGAACACTGCACCCACATACTAACACCGCACCCACAGACTAACACTACCCACAGACTAACACCGCAACACAAACACTACCCACAGACTAACACCGCACCCGCAGACTAACACCGCACCCACAGACTAACACCGCAACCACAGACAAACACCGCACCCACAGACTAACACCGCACCCACAGACTAACACCGCACCCGTAGACTAACACCGCACCCACAAACACTACCCATAGACTAACACCGCACCCATAGAATAACACTACCCACAGACTAACACCGCACCCACAGACTAACACCGCACCTGCAGACGAACACAGCACCCACAGACTAACACTACCCACAGACTAACACCGCACCCACAGACTAACACCGCACCCACAGACTAACACCGCACCTGCAGACGAACACAGCACCCACAGACTAACACTACCCGCAGACTAACACCGCACCCACAGACTAACACCGCACCCACAGACTAATACCGCACCCACAGACTAACACCGCACCCACAAACACTACCCACAGACGAACACCGCACCCACATACTAACACCGCACCCACAGACTAACACCGCACCCACAGACTAACACCGCACCCACATACTAACACCGCACCCACAGACGAACACCGCCCTCGGGGGAAGGGAGTGAACAGATGGAATTGGGTCCCCACTCTGCTGCAGGGCTCAGCAACTCAGAACAGGATCGACGACTTGGAGGCGCAGTCTCCATCATGGTTGCAGAGACGTCCAAGTGGAAGAGACCGAGTTGCAGGCAACATCACTGCGCAACTCGTGGGCAGAGACGAGTTGCAGGCAACATCATTGCTCAACTCGTGGTCAGAGACGAGTTGCAGGCAACAGCATTGCGCAACTCGTGGTCAGAGACGAGTTGCAGGCAACAGCATTGCTCAACTGAGGTGCGGCGTATGCCCATGCGAAAACAGCACGGAGCTGACGCAGTTGTAGCAACGCGCTGTACCAGGCTAGGTGCAGGTCTACACACTGTTGGATTAAATCCTCTAAAATCATCAGCCGTGGTCTATCTACTGTTGGATTAAATCCTCTACCGTCATCAGACATGGTCTATCTACTGTTGGATTAAATCCTCTACCGTCATCAGACATGATCTATCCACTGTTGGATTAAATCCTCTACCGTCATCAGCCGTGGTCTATCCACTGTTGGATTAAATCCTCTACAATCATCAGCCATGGTCTATCCACTGTTGGATTAAATCCTCTACAATCATCAGACATGGTCTATCCACTGTTGGATTAAATCCTCTACCGTCATCAGCCGTGGCCTATCCACTGTTGGATGTGTTCCAGGGCACGTGTTACAGGTTTAAGGGTTATCTGAACTGCTGGTGTCATCCGCCAACTCGAGGGAGGATCAGAAACACAGCGTTACGAAGGATCAGTGAATAGAACGACTGCTCTAAGATCGTATCAGGTAAATGTATAATGCATCACTTATTATTATTCGTTCCAATCAGTCATCCCAATAGACACCTGCAGGGTCTGTCCCTCATGCACCTAGCCTGGTACAGTAGGCTACTCAGACACCTGCAGGGTCTGTCCCGTGACCCCATGCACCTAGCCTGGCACAGCAGTCGACCCATAGACACCTGCAGGGTCTGTCCCGTGACCCCATGCACCTAGCCTGGCACAGCAGTCGACCCATAGACACCTGCAGGGTCTGTCCCGTGACCCCATGCACCTAGCCTGGCACAGCAGTCGACCCATAGACACCTGCAGGGTCTGTCCCGTGACCCCATGCACCTAGCCTGGCACAGCAGTCGACCCATAGACACCTGCTGGGTCTGTCCCGTGACCCCATGCACCTAGCCTGGCACAGCAGGCTACCCATAGACACCTGCAGGGTCTGTCCCGTGACCCCATGCACCTAGCCTGGCACAGCAGTCGACCCATAGACACCTGCAGGGTCTGTCCCGTGACCCCATGCACCTAGCCTGGCACAGCAGTCGACCCATAGACACCTGCAGGGTCTGTCCCGTGACTCCATGCACCTAGCCTGGCACAGCAGTCGACCCATAGACACCTGCTGGGTCTGTCCCGTGACCTCATGCACCAAGCCTGGTACAGCAGTCGACCCATAGTCCTGTGACGTTCTCCTCCTCCTGCACCTAGCCTGGCACAGCAGTTTACCCATAGACACATGCAGGGTCTGTCCCCTGACCCCATGCACCTAGCCTGGCACAGCAGTCGTGAGTCCACCCATCCCCGGGTGTTCGCTACTTACACAGCACGCAGAGAAGAGAGATGGCGACCACGCATCAGCGACTACAGCAGCTGTCACTGTCGCTTGCTGCTGATTGCGACGTCGCACGAACGTCAACAGCCGCCTGCTGTACTTCCGCGTGGGAGGATACAGCCACACCCACTACCCACTAACCCCCACCCACTACGCACTCCCCACTATCCACTAACCCCCACCCACTATCCACTAACCCCCACTCACTATCAACTCCCCACTACCCCACTAACCCCCACCCACTATCCACTAGCCCTACCCACTATCCACTAACCCCAACCCACTATCCACTAACCCCCACCCACTACCCACTAGCCCCACCCACTAACCCCCACCCACTATGCACTAGCCCCACCCACTAACCCCCACCCACTATCCACTAGCCCCACCCACTACGCACTAGCCCCACCCACTAACCCCCACCCACTATTCACTAGCCCCACCCACTAGCCCCCTCCCACTATCCACTCGGAATTAAAATTACCTCCCCGTCCCCTCCATGCTCCTCCCCCCATTCTGCTCCCTCCCTCTCCCCTCCCTCTCCAGAAGTTGCTCGGTGTAGTCGGCACTTTGCTTTGCTTCGTTCATCATTTCGTTTTTTTATGCTTTGCTTTATGTAACCCCCCCCCCCCCCCCCTTTTTCAATGAAAGATTTAACTTGTATTTTTATTTATTTTGTATTGATTCTGAACAAAATCAAGGCATGTGCACAGAGATTTTACTTCCAATACCGGGCCGACCGTGCTTCACGGGCTTGTAGGTCATGTAGAACTCGCCCAGGTAGTGGCCAATCATCTCGGGCTTGACTTCGACCTGGTTGAAGGTCTTGTCGTTGTACACGCCCACCATGCTGCCCACCATCTCAGAGATGATGACCATGTCACGCAGATGTGTCTTCACCGCCTCCGGCTTCTCCAGCGGTGGCACGTCCTTCTTCGCTCTCTCTCTCTACCCCCTCTCTCCCTGCTACTCCTCTCCCTCCCTCTCCCCTCCCTCCCTCTCCCCTCCCTCCCTCTCCCCTCCCTCCACCTGCCCCTCTCTCCTCCTTCTCCCGTCCCTCCCCGCAGAACCGGCACTCCGGGGACGTGTCGGTGAAGCGCGCCAGGGAGGCATTGGTAGTGACGGTGCCGTGGGTGATGCTCCAGCTGAGGTCGCCGATCCGGTTGTACGTCGGGCTGGAGTAGAGTTGCCTCCAGAGAGGCCTCTCCGGTGAGATGCAGGGCAGGGCTTTCCTCCAGGGTGTCCTGTTGGTGAAACCAGACCATGTAGGAGGAGAGCAGCTTTCTCTTGACATTTGCGAAGGCCACCTCTGGTAGGTCTTCCAGCCGGCACAGGTCGTGATCTGCCTTCGTTTGTCAGCATTGGTGATGCAGTGGCATGACGGAGAGCAACGGTGTAGGGGGACCGAGAGGGGCCCCGTCATCCCCAATGCCGATGGGGGGGCGTTCTCCCCGCTGCCGCTGAGAAGGCTCCCTTGGCTTCGGCCAGGATCCGGGCAGCCACCCGGAGCAACTGCAGCCCTGTCTTTGCGGCCATGTCTGCTGGTCCGAGCCACCGGCCCCGTGTTCCAGGCTTCACCAGATCTCCCATCCTGGTGAGCCGCCCGTTGGCGAGGCACCTCTCCATACCAGTGGTGGTGGTGGTGGATGGCAGCTTTGTCTGTGGGTTCCTGAGGATCGGTTCGAAGACCAAATCCTTAGCCGATCGCGGCTGGTTCAGCTCCTGTAGAAATGTGGCAGCTGTCCCAATGGGAGGCCCTGCAGGTCCATGTATAATTGTTGTTTGGAGCACTGCATATCCAAAAGCTGTTTCAGGTGGAAGGAGGCCATGACGCTCCAGGCCGGTGCAGGGGCGGCGTGCAGGAACTTTTGCGCGGCCTGCAATCGGAAGGTGGCCAGCTGACTCTGCACGCACACCAGCCCGTGACCGCCCTTGTCCAGTGGCAGGGCCAGGACCCCAGCTGCGACTCGGTGTCTTCTGCCCGACCAGAAGAAGTCGAGCACTCTCTTCTGAAGTGTGTTGACGAGGCTCATGGGGGGAGAAGAGTCGGTGCCACAGCATGGACGTCACCAGCTGGTTCACCACCAACGTCTTTGTCCTGAAGGTGAGGAACTTGCACAGGCGGCTCCAGGTGCCCAGCCGCTCCTTCACCTTCTCCAGCTCGACCCAGTTCCTCTGCGGTGGTTCCTCCTCTGGTTCCAGGAACACCCCCAGGTGGTGCAGCGATGTTGTGCTCCAATTGATGGCTTTTGCCTTCTCGTGACACTGAGTCATGTCCTACGCTCCAACCGGCAGCCCGCTGCACTTTTGCCAGTTCATTTTTCATGAGGAGGCCTTTGAAAAGACCTCCTGGCACTCGTGCAGCAGGGCGACATCATCTAGAGAGCGCAGGATGAGGAGTACGTCTTCGGCATACACCATCGGGAACCAACTTGATGCTTGGTTCCCTGAGCACCAGGCCACTGAGTCTCCGCCTTGTGAGACTCAGGAAAGGCTCTAAAGCCGGGGCATAAATCTTCTTTGGTTATTTTGGTAAAGTCACGTACAATGAGAATAAAATAATAAATTGATAAAATAAAATAACACAATAAAATTCACACGACGTTTCGGCCACAACACAAGCGGCCTTCATCAGGTGAAGGGACGAGACTGTCTGGAGGACAGCGCTGTGTACGTATTGATGCGCCACTGTTTCGAGCTCACCACAGAATACGCATTCCGGATTTGTGTCTGTGAAAAGTGCCAAAAATGTGTTCGTGGTCACAGTCCCATGGGCAATACTCCAGCTCAGATGACCGTGGTGCTTGTACGATGGAATTGAGTAAAACAGCTCCCAATGAGGCCTCACGTGATCACTGCAGGGCATCGTGTTTCTCCAAGCGTCGCCTTTGCGTGACGTAATTGTTTGTTGATGGTGGAAATTGACCGTTTGGGTGTACAGCTTTTTCCGGTCTACATCTGAGAAGCACCCCTCCTGGTAATTCTCCGAGGGGTGCCCCCAGTGCTGCTGTGAAGAAGAGAGTTGAGTGTGCTGCCTTGCTGGGACGACATTCAGTTTTGGTGGCACTGGGCCACCGCCGGCTGACTAGTCACCAGCACTCACAGCAGGAGCGCTCCCCACTGCTGTTGAGTAAGACCTTCGCACTTCATTCACAAGTTTTGCTGCGAGTCTCATGGAGTGCATTCCGGCCATTGCAGCTATCTCGGTAGGGAGAAGCCACTGCTCCTCCGTGCCTGGTTTCACCAAATCGCCCACCCTCGTGAGACGTGCATCTACCATGCGTTTCTCCATGGCAGGGCCCACAATAGAGGGTGGTGCCATGTTGGGGTTCTGTAACAGCGGCTCGTGAGCGAATTCTAATGCTTACCGGGGTTTATTCAGTCGGACAGTGGACAAGGAAACCCCAGGTATGTAGGATGCTCATGTAGAAGTGGGGAATCTGTGCGAGTGGAATACCCGTAATGTACATTAAGAAGAGCTGCGAAGGCCCCCGATTTATTTAGAAAAAAAGATCCTGTGGAACACCACATTGGTGATGGGGTCGTGTAGAGGAACCTCTGTAAGGCTTGTAGAGGAAATGTAGAGAATTGGCTCTGTACACACACCAGACCTTTCTCGCCCTCCCGCAGTGGCAAGGCCAAGATACCAGCAGCCACACGGTGCTTCCTATGTGACAAGAAGAAGGCAGCTATCAGTCTCTGAAGTTTTTCTATCAGGTATTGCGGGTGGAGTGAGGGAAAATAAGCAGTGCCACAAGGTGGATACAATCAACTGATTTACCACCAATGTTCCAGTCTTTCCCTCACCCTCTCTTCCAAGAAATCCCAAATTTTCTGCAATGGTTTTTGTCCAGGTCCCAGGAGCACGCCGAGATGGTGAAAACTTTCTCTCTCTTTCCTCCACGTTATTGTTTTGGCCAACTCAGGGAACTGGGCTTCGTCCCACTTCCCAACAAGCAGCCCACTGCACTTCTCCCAGTTCATCCTGGAGGAGGACGCACGGGAGTAAACCTCTTGGCACTTCTTCTTTCGTTCTTTCGGTAAAGTCACGTAGAATGAGAATAAAATGATAAATTGATAAAATAAAATAACGCAATAATATTCTCACGACGTTTTGGCCACAACACAAGCGGCCTTCATCAGGTGAAGGGACGAGACTGTCTGGTAGGACGGCGCTGGAGACAGTCTCGTCCCTTCACCTGATGAAGGCCGCTTGTGTTGTGGCCAAAACGTCGTGAGAATATTATTGTGTTATTTTGTTTTATCAATTTATTATTTTATTCTCATTCTACGTGACTTTACCGAAAGAACCAAAGAAGATTAATCCTTGCAGTCATGAAAGCTTTAAATCTCTTGGCACTTGTGCAGCCGTTCGATGTCGTCAAAACTTTGTAAAAAGAGAATGTCATCGGCATACACTGTGAGGGTCACTCTCATACCGGTGAGTCGGCGTCGGAGTAGACGCAGAAAAGGCTCCACGATGAGAGTGTAGAGCTGTCCTGACATAGGGCAGCCTTGCCTGATACCTCTCCTGAAATCTATAGGAGCAATTAGTCCACCATTAACTTTAACCAGACACTGGTCCATGTTGTACAGCAAACTAATTGATCCTTTCAAGCGAGTCCCATAACCAAAAGCTTTTAAAGTGCCAAGAAGATACTGGTGATCTACCGTGTTAAATGCTTTCTCTTGATCAAGGAAGATAAATGCAAGTGGAAAGTTCAAATGCTTCGACAGACTGATCAAATCTCTGACTTGGAAAATCCCATCATGGATGGTCCTCCCTGGAACAGTGTATGCCTGGTCATTGGCAATAACCTGATCCAACACTCTCTTAAGCCTTGCAGATGCAGCTTTCGCAAGAATCGTATAGTCTGTGCTCAGCACTGAGACTGGTCGCCAATTTTTGAGCTGCCTGAGGTCGCCCTTTTTTGGAATCAGTGTGAGCACGGCTCTCCTCCAGGCCTCACGTTGGTCTCCACTGCTTCATCTAGAATGGCTTTGTAGTCTTTACGTATGGAGTGCCAAAAATGGTAATAAAACTCCCCCGTCAGCCCATCAATCCCCCGAGATTTGTTCATGGCCAGGGCACTCACTGCCATGTCCAGGTCGCTTTATTCGACCTCTTCTTCTAGAAGGTTCCTTTCCTCTTCACGCAAAGTAGGCAGGTCCTTCCAGATTTCATTCTGGGCCACTTTGGATATATGCTATGGAGAAAAGAGATTTCCAAAGTACTGTACTACTGTTGTAGCTATTTGATTATTGTTTGAAACAAGGACCCCCTTGTCATCAAATGTGATGATGGTAGTAGTGGGCAGTGATAGTCCCGGTGGTGGGCTTCCACCGATTAAAGGGGTACCAGGTCTAAAATGGAAACATTACAGCTAGTTACGACTTAAACTGGTTGATAACGTACTTCCAGTGATTGCTGAGTTTGTAACAATCTTCTCGGTTGAAATTGTGTCTATGTCTGTATATATAGATGGCTTCATGAACGAATCTTTGTTGATAGACAGTGGGTTTGCAACGTACCTTCGTCTAAGATAAATCAATTTCGTGTGAGCCCACCGCATTAAAGCAATGATCAGCCACGGCCGAAGTATTAGTCCTACCATGTTTCAGATCTGCCTTATGTTCACGAACATGATCCGAGACATGTCGCTTAGTTTCCCCAATGTAACTACTGACGCAGACACAACTTAGTTTGTAGACACCGGGGTATTGCATGTCAGGAATCACATCCTTCACAGATGGGATCAGATTATGAATTTTATGTACTGTGTTAAATCGATCCTGAAGCTTGTGTTTGCTCATGATTTTGGAAATCTTCTTTGGTGACTCCTGCTGTGTATGGCAAGGTGATGGTTTTGATTAGGTCCTCAGATGGTTCTTTCCCAATGGTTGGGGTGATAGTTTTACAGATTGTGTAGTCTTGAGAGCCTTGTGTACGTGTTCCAGTTCACTGGCTAGATGATGATGGTCGGAAATACATCGAGCTCAATAGTGTAGCGTTTTGATGAGGGAATTATTCTGGGATGGATGGTGGTGGGAGTCAGGCTTTAGGTAGGCATCCGTATGGGTTGCTTTCCTGCAGACAATGGCCCATTGAGCCATCTGGTCTCTTTTCGATTAAAACATCTAAGAATGGTAGCTTGCCATCCTTTTCCACCTACATGGTGAATTTGATGGCTGGGTGTATGGAATTTATGTGGTTGAGGAATTAGTTCAGAGCTGGTCGGCCAAGTGGCCAGATGGCAAACGTGTCATCTACGTACCTCTTCCACAAGGATGGACGTAGAGTTGATGCCAGGTTGGCGTCTGCTCAAATGTTTCCATGAAAACATTGGCTACAACTGGAGATAAGGGAGAACCCATTGGGGTACCTTCAACTTGTTTGTAGAATGTTCCATTCTAGATGATGTAAGTGGTGGTGAGGCAGTCTCACCAGGGCCGGTACATCAGAATTCAGTCCTTGTTGGACCAAATCTTCAATGATTGTAATGGTGTCAGGCACAGAAAGTTTTGTAAACAAAGAGACGACATCGAGAATAACGTGCAAATGACATGGAGATAGTGAGATGTCCTTTATTCATGATACCAAGTGAGCTGAGTTAAGTATAGCTGCGGCGGTCTTACCAGTGAATGGTTGTAAAGTCTCAGACAGAAATTGGGCCAGTTTGTAGGTGGGTGAGTCAATGGTGGAGACGATAGGACGAAGCGGTGTCCCTTCTTTACGTATTTTTGTGAAGCCATGCAATCTGGGTGGTCTTGCAGCAGAGGGTGTTAAAGAGAGCCGCTTGGTTGGTTCGATAAAAGATGTCGAATCAGTGATGATATTGTTGGTTTTCATAATGAGGCTGTTGGTGGGATCTATTTTAATATGTGTGTAGCTACCATCATTTGTGGCCAGGTCGCTTTTGAACAATAAGTTTATACCTCAGTGGGCTTTGCCTGCTAGGATGGGGATGGTTTCGTTGTATTTGTATGTGTTTGGGTGATTTATTTACCTTTCTTGTACGTTGCACTCCTATCGTGTGTTTGTGTTATTTCTTGTTGGAACATTCTTACTTGCCCCAACTGGACATCTGTGAAAAAGAGCTTCATAACTGATCGGAATCCGCGAGTATAAATAAATATTCTGATTCTGAATAAAGAGTTGATTTGGCAAACCTAACTGAACGTGCTGAAATCATGTGCAACAACAAAACACTATAGAATCGAACAAGAGACACGTGTCCGAGATATTCTCCCGAATGAGAAGAGCATTGGATCAAGACGAAGCGGAGGTTGTGCACCGCGAAGAGCTGGCGGGTCACCGCATGCTGTCCCACATCGACAACGACATTGAAAATTACAATGATGAAATCTGCAATCTTCAGGAGAAAGTCAAGAAACTGCAACATCTCGAAAATGAGGCCGAT